CATCAGTGGGTAGCTTTCTGCTGATTAATTTCTGTTGGAGGTTTGGTGGTTGTCTGAAGGCCAAAATGGGTGTTTCAGAGAAAATGTTTTTCAGAGTCTAATCTTCTGTTAACATTTGTTGTAGGTCTTTGATGAATTTCCATTTTTCCTCAAGAGCTGGGTTGTAGGTGACCACAAGTGGCACTCGTGTAGTTATTTTTTTCTCTTTGTACTGTAGCAGGCGCATGCGTGGAGTTTTTACAGCAGAGTTGGTTTGTTTGGTTATAGTCTTTGGTTTGTAGCCTTTCTGTCTCATTGGGATTGGGAGAGTACATTTAGATGGGAATCATGGCCGTAGATGATGCCCTGTTTAGTATGGGAGGGGTGGAAGCTGGAGCTCTGAAGGTAACTGCACCTGTCTGTGGGTTTCCTGTAAACCGAAGTGTGGATTGTGCAATTGTTACATGTCACAGTGGTGTCCAGAAAATTCACAGATCTAGTGGAATATTCCATTTTTAGTTTGATTGATGGATGGAATGTATTAAAAGAGTTCAGTGGAATGTATTAAAAGAGTCAGGGAACTGTATCAGTTTTTCTTTGCTTTCAGTCCAAATTATGAAGATGTCATTAAAGGACCACTATAGTGCCAAGAAAACATACTCATTTTCCTGGCACTATAGTGCCCGGAGAGTGCCCCCACCCTCAGGGTCCCCCTCCCGCCGGGCTGGATGGAGAGGAAGGGGTTAAACACTTACCTTTTTCCAGCGCCGGGCTCCCTCGGTGCTGGAGACTCTCCTCCTCCTTTCCCCGTCATCAGCTGAATGCGCATGAGAGGCAAGAGCCACACGCGTATTCAGCCAGTCTCATAGGAAAGCATTCTCGATGTTTTCCTATGGACGCTGGTGTCTTCTCACTGTGAAAATCACAGTGAGAAGCGCGGAAGCACCTCTAGCGGCTGTCAATGTCACCAGAGGCTGGATTAACCCTAAAGTAAACATAGCAGTTTCTCTGAAACTGCTATGTTTACAGCAGAAAGGGTTAATCCTAAGTGGACCTGGCACCCAGACCACTTCATTAAGCTGAAGTGGTCTGGGCGCCTATAGTGGTCCTTTAATATAGCGATAATATTTGTATGGTTTGGTGTGCTGTATTTCTAGGAATCACTGTTCAAGATCTGCCACAAACAGATTAGCCTATTGGGGTGCCATCTTAGTGCCCATAGCAATGCCCATGGTTTGTAGGTAAAACTCAAAAACTGAAATAGTTATGTTAGGATAAATAGTGCCAGTTCTGAGATAATTCAGGGGCTGTATTTTTGGTTGTCGGCATGAAAGAGAAAATGGAAGCAAGCAGTGACGCCATCTGTATGTGGAATGTTGCTATACAGAGATTCCACATCCATGGTTACAAGGATGGTGTTAGCAGGGAGATTGGTGATTTGGCTGAGTTTGTTAAGGGAGTCACTTGTGTCTTTTATGAAGCTGTTAGTGGCGATTTTAGGGTATTTTCTACCAGTCCTGAGATCTGTTCTGTGAGAGTTCCCATTCCTGTAATTCTGGGTCTTTGTGGATTTTGTGAAGCATATAGAAACTAGTCCCTGGGCACTTTCTATATGCTTCCCAAAATCCACAAAGCAGGTAATCCTGGAAGACCCATAATTACAGGAATGGGAACTCTCACAGAACAGATCTCAGGACTGGTAGAAAATACCCTAAAACCTCTAGTATTGATCCTGATGAAAGTCCTATACAGGGACTGAAACGCTGATCCCATGTTTTAAACTTGTGAATAAAAGAAGAATGTCATTGAAGACCGTGAGTTCTACCATTTCTACTATATATATATATATATATATATATAGAGAGAGAGAGAGAGAGAGAGAGAGAGAGAGAGAGAGAGAGAGAGAGAGAGAGAGAGAGAGAGAGAGAGAGATTTTTTTCTGCCCCTTATTTATTTCCCTATTGATCACTGCTCACTTGATCTGTTAATAAAATAAAAATTTAGTGACTGTCCTCTAGCTATCAATCATCTGATCAGCCCAAATTCGTCTGAATCATAGTTTAGTCCGAAAATAATCTCAAAGTCTACTGATTATTATTATTATTATTATTATTATTATTATTGCTATTTATATAGCGCCAACAGATTCCGTAGCGCTTTACAATATTATGAGAGGGGGGATTTAACTATAAATAGGACAATTACAAGAAAACTTACAGGAACGATAGGTTGAAGAGGAGCCTGCTCAAACGAGCTTACAGTCTATAGGAGGTGGGGTATAAGACACGTTAGGACAGGAAATATCAATCAAATAGGGTGGGAGTGAAGCCGGGCTGGAGGAGAGGGTAGAGAGAGCAAGAGACAGGTATGTAAGGTAGAGGTTACTCTGGGAGGCCATAAGCTTTCCTGAAGAGATGGGTTTTGTAAGTGCCAAGGATGCTCATATACTTCCTCCTTACCCTTCATCTAAATATTTAGCTGCACATTCGCAACAGATTGCTTTCTCTCATTTCTATACACTAGTTGATGCGATTTGTTATGCAATGTGTGAATGATGCATTAAAATATGCAAAATAAAATACATTAAAAAGTAACTTGCAATGAGAATGCTCATGTCAAATGTCATTAGCAATGCTTGTGGCGTCACAAACATGCATGCGCTTACATTAACTTCAATATAAGCACTTCTGCTTTGTAAGATCTGGGAATTTGTATTCATTTTTTAATTAATTCAAAATGTATTGAGCAAGTATTCATATTAACATATAATACAATAAACGTTTTTTTCCCTCAGTATAAATGCCAGTGAAATGAGCAGTGAAACTTCACAGGCCTGATATATACACAAAAACTGCTTCATTAAGATAAACTTGTTTGGTGACTATAGTGGCCATTTCACTATTAATTAGACAAGCTGGTTATTAGATCATATTTTCTTCATGAACCAGTATAATGTGGTTATATGCTTCAAAACTAAACTAGCAAAGTTCTGCAAATATGGTTTCACTGTTTTAGTTCCCACAGTTTTGAAGTGACCATTTATGTGCTGAAATGGTTTCATGTCTTTCGAATCTGCAAAGGTGGTTCCCTAGATGTTGCGTGGTTAGCAGCACAGAAAACTAGTTATTTGCTTGATGAGCTTTATTCATTGTGAGCTGAAGATTCTCGTGTATTGTTTGTCAAATGATGTTTCAGTGTTATAAAATGTTGTCCAAGGGTCAGTAGCCAATACCATATCTGGATGCCAGCCTGCCAATGTACCCACTGCACTGATTCTCCTTTTGGAAGACTGGTAACATCTTTCCATTCCAAAAATACCATGATTTTCATGCCTATTTTACACTTAACAGATGTACGACAATACAACACATCTAAACAAATGCTCTCAACAGTAGGGAAATAGATTTTAACATTTTTCAATAGCCGTATGTCTTGCTATTCTTCCAGCTTACATCTGGGAACATCATCCAATGGTAAATGATACAGTTCTCAAAGTCACCCAAAGATTTGCAATAAAAATATATATGCTCAGACCACAGTGTTCAACGAATAAGAATATACTAAAATACAAAGCCAGTATATAAACTTTTTTTATAGTGTATAATTGTGGCGTCTGAAAGTGTATACCGTACTTTATGCACACACTATATGACAAAATAAACTCACTGCTAAGCAGTTGTGCAGCAACCACTTTGTACTTTGCATTTTTATTTATATGAACATTGTCAGGGTTACTTACATGCCAGGAATTCAAAGGATGTAAAAAAAAAATTTTTTTTAAATTAGTTTATTTTAGCCTAACATTTGAAAATTGACTTTGAATTCCTGGTAATTCTTACTTTAGTGAGAATAATAATTATATATTAATAAATAGTATTATTTCCTTTTTTGTCTCTATCATGCCCTTTATAGATGTTACTATATAAATAGACACGGCAATGTATTTGTTCTTTTCTTGTTCCCAGACACAGTGTTTTGATGTGCTTATTCCACTGTGTGAGGATTTGTCTTGGCAATCAGTCATAGTAATACCCTCAGTGGATTGGCCACACTTTTCACCCAGCAGATGGGACTGAGATTATCAAGAATGTAATCCAAAACATAGTGTAACACAGCAAAGGAGACACCGAGCAAAAGAGGAAAGAAAAGCTAGCTAAGGTAAAATGCTAAAAACTATTGGAAACCGACAACCATATAAAAAAACAGATATATTATTTGTCAGCAGTTGTATGGAATTCATGAATAGAAGCTACTGCTACAATACTGTTACATTATTTGAGCAACACTGTAAGGCATTACATTAATAGGAGCTTTATACACAGGCATTCACAATGCAGACTTTTTAAGGCTATCCTAGCTATAAAATGAGGCCAGGGACTAATGAAAGTATTTAGAAAATTGGGCAGACTAGATGGGCCTAATGGTTCTTATCTGCCGTCATATTCTAGGTTTCTATGTTTATTTCACCTCAAAGGTCAGGGGACTCATGGGGTTAGGGCTGGATTTAAGGGATCTATATAGGTTTCAGGAATATTTCATAGTTAGTATTTGAGTGGTGCCCAGAGGTAAGGGGTACTTACTTCCTATAAAGTTCTTAAGGTTATGGGGTAATTGGGGAAAGAATTAAAGGGCTATATGTGTAAATTTAGGGGTAACTACACTCAGTTATTATTCATAGGAATTAGTCATGAATATGTTGTCATGGGAATTACAAACCAGGGCATCTAGTGCTCTCAAGGGTGAGGGCTGGACTCCTGTGTTGCAAAGGAAATGTTCTATTAAAATTGTCTTCTGAGAACAGAACCATTGCAGCATCATTATACTGAAACCCATTTTGTAGGCAAAATTTTTAAGGGAAATGTTTATATGCTGGAGTTGTGCATTGTATACACATTTTTGTCATTTGTTGAGCATGGTGGTTGACTGCCCTTTGTTCCTGTTTATGTTTACAGGCCTTGGGTACCCTTTCACGGGAATCCTATTATCTTGTTCTAGAACTCTAGTCAAAGTGCAAAGTAAAGATGTCAGTAATGGATGATACCGCTTCGGACCTGCCTGTGAAGGACACTGATTGCAAACCAGCAGTTATCAGAGCAATACAAGGTAACAGTATTTTTTATCTGAGAAGTGCCTTAATGCTTCATTGTTTCCTATTCTATATACTTTCTCAAAAATTTAGGAATTAAGGAAAATTGACGAGTGAATTGCAAATATATTTAGGATGACGCTTAGTATGATAGTGTTTCAAATTTAGCTATTTTCCCTAAAATTTGCTATTCCCTTTTCAATTTCCCACAATTCCAAATTTAGCAAATAGGGTTTGTTTTTGTATAAAATAAGATTTACAAGAAACATTATGTATTTCCTTGCACTTTCTGAGACATTCATTACAAAAGTAAGTGTTCCAGAATATATGGTGAATTGAAAAATAGTTTGACTCATGCAGTGTGTTTCCCCCATAATTTCTTGAAGTCCTTAAAGGGTTACTCCAAACACCATGAACACAATTAATCAACCCTGGTGTGCAGTGTATTTAGCTTCACCCAGTATCCTATGATTAAGTGTCGGGTTCACCACACAAAGCGAGTATGGTGGTAGAGGCTATATGATGTTGAGTGCTGTTTGGCTTTTGGTAAATTTTGGTCTCCTTTTCCCACATTTAGCAACTTAGTTAAGGGCAACTTAGGAGGGTATATTAGCTCACTCTGGCACGTCACTTTACCTTTTTAATACATTGTATTTATAAATATTACTTTATATATTTTCTATGTCTGCTTCTCCTCTTTGTAGGGAGATTGGTCAACAAAAAAAATGGTTCTGCAGCTTTTTTACTTCTTTACTTCTCTCCTGCTCAATCTTACTGGCCTTAATATATCTTCTTATTGCCTTCAACACTTCTCAACCCCACTCCTTCTTCAGCCCTCCACTTCTCTTTCTTATCCCCAATTTCCATCCCTCCACTGCTCTTTATCACCCACCCACTGTTCATCTCATCCTCCAAGTGCTCCTTCTTTGCCTCCCTGCTTCTTAATACCACCACCCCACAGTCTTCATTGCCAATATTCCACTGCTTCTTCGTATCCCCCACTGCTTCATTTCGTAACACTATTGCTCTAGCTCCCCACAGGCCAGCCATTCCTGGAAGGCCTGGCAGTCAGGAAGTTGTAATTATTAGCCCCAGATCTCCCTAGCACTGTTAAGCAGCACGTTTAATGTGCACATAGTCTGTGGCAGTGCTGGGGAGATCCAGGGCTAATAATTGCAGTGCTTTAGGTAAGAGATCTGGAGCTTTCCTGCCCAAGACTTGGACTCTAGCTCCAACAGACCCCCATCCCTATTAATGCCTCTGAGGTCAATGTTTAACCCATAGCTGTTGTCCATGACAACAAAAAATCTCAATAAGCAATGTAAATTAGGAAAACACAGCACTGCAAAGCAATATAACTCACAATATTGTGTGACATGGATGAGTATCAAGAAGCTCCAAAGCAATAATCTTTGTGTTTGGATGAGTGGCTCTGTCTTAATGTTGTATATTCGGCGCTGTGTGTGTGCCAAGTACGTTGTGTTGAGACAAACCGTGATAAAAAAGGATGCAGTGTGAAGTGTAAAATATGATGCCTGTCTGTGCTCATTGCATTTCCTAATTCCAGTTATTTCATTACTTTCTAATGAACTTGGAAAACAAGAGAGTGGGGTTGAAGGCCAATTATTTAAAAGAAATTTGAGAAAAGAAAATCTGCAAGAAACACAGACTGTTTTGGTACAGTGTCCCTTTAAAACACCATGAGTAATGATTATTTATGAGCAGGGCCGCCATCAGGGGGTGACAACTGCTTACATGCTGTTGAGGTCCATCGGGTGGTCCAAGCATTTAAGGCCCTCCAGTGGGCCCCATATCTTAACGGGCCCGGTCAGCGCTGAGGCCATGTAATAGCACGACTGGCCTCCTTTTAAACATTTCAGCTCACTCTGCGCGGGAGGGAGGAGAGACCAGCCGTGAAGAGGGAGAGCTACACCAACTCCCATCATGTGTATACACTACACACAAATTCACACCTGCATTCAAACACCAACATTCACACACATACTCCATACAAAACATGCTTACTGTTATGCTACAAGGGTTTTTGGAATTGGAACTCAACTGCAGGTTGTAGAACTCCTTAATTACAATAGAAATGAAACGGAAAATCTTCTAAATTATCAATACAGTAGCTTTAAGCAAAGAGGTGATTGAAGGCAATTAGAGAATTAAAAGAAGTTTTAATGATTGCAATAAATTTTAGTAACTGTGAATAATAGCATATAGGTAATAATTCAATAAGAAGAAACTGTAGATTATGGCAAGCAAAACACAGTTCATTAATAAGTAAATCCTCAGAGATGATTTGAATAGTATACTTAAGCTTGATGGGAGTTATCTTCCATAGGAATAGCATGCAGTCAGCAGAGAAGATTTTAGCAAGCAAGGAACAATTCAGTTATAACTGAGTCTTCAGAGAATAGAATGAAAATTATACTTAAGATTTATGTGAGTAGTCCTCCAACAGATCGGAATTAGAGTCCAAGTATAAATTGGTAAACAGTCCGTTTTCCAGGATCCAATAGAGGATGTAAAGTACAATCCTTTTAGTAGTTCAAAGGCTAAGGAAGGCTTGCGAGTGAAGCTTGTGTAGCCGGCGTCTAAACACGGAAGTAGGTCCCAAAATTTCCAAGCAGTTTGTATCTGGCACGGTCTCTCTAAATAGCGTAAGAGAGCCGCGTCAGAAGGGGGCGGGGCCGGCTCCGCATACCGGAAATGCCGAACCCGGAACAGATACCGCATTACACTTACATTCAAACACAAATTGTGTGTGTGTGTATATATATGGGGCTCTGACTCCCAAGTTGGGGGAGTGGCTTCAACAGATTCCAGGTGGGACATCTGAGATCGCTGTCCAGAAAAGTGCAGTTCTAGGAACAGCTAAGATACTCAATTTTTATATATATATATATATATATATATATATATATATATATATATATATATATAAGCAAAGAAAATTACTGGCACTCAAGGATTTTCCAAAGTTCACTTCTCCATTTATTGTGGAAAAATCAAAATCGACGTTTCAGCTGCTCTAGGGAGCTTTCCTCATGAAAAAGCCCTGTGTCCTGATGAAAGCTCCCTAGAGAAGCTGAAACATGGATTTTGATTTTTCCACAATAAGTGGAGAAGTAAACTTTGGAAAATCCTTGAGTGCCGGTATTTTTCTTTGCTTATAATTGAACCACCAGAGCACCAGGTATTGTTTTCTTTTTGTTCGTTGGAGTGCAGGGGTTACTTGTATTTATATATATATATATATATATATATATATATATATATATACACACACACACACACAGTGCATCCACTGCACATGTACTAACACACACTGCAGCCTTTACACAAACACACACTGAACCCACAGAACACACACCCTGTATCCACTCTACAAACACTGCTTCCTTGTGAGTGAACTTATAGGGGGGTCCTGTGGGCAGGATTTGGAGGCAGGCCCTGGGGTATGATTGGAGGCGACCCCCCCCGGGGGCCCAGACCTTGAGTTGTGTTAGGGGCCCTAAAATTTCTGATGGCGGCCCTGTTTACGAGTATGTAGTAACTTTTTTAGTTTAGATTGAAATTTAGGTCATGCAGTCATCCAAAAATGCAGATAGTGTGTGTGTATATATATATATATATATATATATCTTTAGTTTTGTTTTTATAAATGTATACATAACTACAGTATAGTATCATATTTCCTAATACATGCTTTTGTATTGTGTATCTTTCACATTGAAGTTTGGGTCAGGGCAACAATTTAGGGTTAGTTTACCTTTATGGCAGCACCTGTAAATACATATTCCACCCTAGATTGATGGGACATGGATTCCTAGCTGCTATCTGAGTTCGCTGTCCTTAAAAGAACACTGTCAGCTCACACTCAGAGGATATGACAGCGTTCTAATAAGTCTGCCACTCTCCCGTACTATACTGGAAGATTAGCTGACACATGCAGAGTTATTTACTAAAGTGAGAATTCAAAGTGGATTCACCTTGAATTCTCAATTTAGTGAATAACCCTGATGGTGTTTTCTTGCCCTCCTCTGCTGGCATGTCATTTTCAGTCCAAGAAATGAATAAATCATGGCATTGGCAGCAGCAAATAGCTGATGGCAAAAATAATAGCTCCCACTCATCTTGGGGAGTGGAGAATGTTAGGTTTTGGGGTTTTTTTTATTCACAGTGTAAATCACATCATGCAGGACAGGTTTTGAAATAGCATGATCTTCTCTAAGAAGTAACTGGCAGCTCATTCACATACTCTCTCTGTTAAGATATAATGGTGGTGTTTGGAATTCTCTTTTGTTTGCCTACATAAATAGGGTGTGCATTTTATTATTTTTGTATTCTGCTACTTAAAAGCAGCACTGTGTATTTTTCTTGGGTGAGGGGTGGCACAGCTTAATTATCCTTCTAAACTGCTGCAATTTCCAGGTATTCTAAATAAACTACTTCTATTAGTCGCTGCTCGCGCTGTTTACCAAACCTCACAGTTGTCTCACTTTGCACATTAATAATTGTTATTTTTCAGAGTTATCAACAGGATCCCACACTCACCAACACCATGTTCGGACAGCACCAAAAATGAAAGGTGAGAGATGTTCAATATCTTTTGAAAGCAGTTTGGTCTAATATGTAATGTTTTTTATTGCATTCCTGTGAACATAATTTGACTATTTACAGCTTTCCAGTCGCAGCCACCTCAGTCCATAGACTGGTTATAGTTTAGGTCCATTTACACAAACTATGCATTTAAACCCTGCCTCCCTCCCTCACCAATAATAGTGAGGAGGAGCAATAAAACAAGATAAGCAACAAAAAAAATAAAAAAATAAAAAATATATATATATATATATATATATATATATATATATAAAATTCCCATGCTATGCAAGATCATCAGGTTTTTCTCCCAATAGTCTATAATGAGCCTTCGCAGAGCAAAATTGGATAACTTTTATTGCATCAGGTTTTGTTTGTTTTACAGCAGGGGTTTGTTTTTTTGGGGGGTTTTTTTGTGATCCGGTACATTTTTATTTTAATAATTGCATCATGGTATTTTGGAATTCATTCTAACCTTTTTTGGGGGCTGAAGAAAAGATGATTTAGAAGAAATAAGAATAATGGTAAGTATAATTTTTCTTTCCTTACAAGTTTTAGGTTTAGTGCCCACCCTTTACCGTAAGAACTGTGAGGGGGAAAGGCAGAGTCTATAAGTGGGAAGGGGGTAGCTTGGGGTCCACCACCCCCTTTCAATATTTATTTGGAGCCCTCAACCTACTACTAGTGGAACAGTTCCCTACTAAACTCCCCTCCCCCTATGTTTTTTACAGGCCCCATCGCCTTTCTGGAAAGTGGGCAGCAATGTGGTGGCAGGTTAGCAAGCTCTGGCCAGCCATCACGTTAATTGTTAACCCGCGTGCTGCTGAGTGTTATTACTAACTATTTGCCTGAAGCCTGCTAGCAGGCCATAGAGATTAACATTCAGACAAAAATTCGGTGATCAGCAAAAATGTTCACCAAATTTCAGCTAAAAAGAATAGGCATGTGTCTGAAAATTGGTCAAAAAAAATTCTAGTTTGACAGAATGACCGAAAACACCAAATCATTTCTCTATGCACATGTCTAGTGGTTATGTTGCTTAACGTGCCCATTTGAAATCCAGCCATTTTGGTATTTATTAGCTGCCTTCCTCAATGGTTAACAGGAAAATGGTTACTTCTTGCAGTAGAATTCTGTGATGTCTTATTCTGTATTTTCTAGAAAAACTGCAGAGGTTCCTACAACCACATCCTTCTCATTTATTAGTTTGGAGGTTATGTTTGACTGTACTGCTTCAACAGGAGCATTAGTATTACTATATTAATATATACAGGGTATTAGGGCAATATCTTTTATGTGGCTCGTCTCACTCAGTCCCCCTATGGATTAATCATTGATCTGAGCATGTTTATTGCCACATTTGTATGCATTCGGATGCTTGATACTTTTTGTATCTATCAAGGTGATAAAGTCTTGCACCGTTTAGCTTGGGTAACAAGCACTTCTTGGATCCTTGGCCTGAGGTAATACAGCCTTTATATTGGCTCCACCTAGTGCTCTTATTCAAGTATTACACCCTGTAAATGGATGGATTCAGTTTGCATTGATACTTTATTTTTTTTTTTTCATTAATATTTTTTACTTATTTTGCCTTTCCATCACAAGGCAGCAATATCTTAGTATTGTGTATTTTATACATGTATTAGTTTTTTTGACTATTTATATATTTATATATATATATATTTATATATTTATATTTTGGCTCACATGCATACATTTTTTTCCTACATTACCACCATTTAATGATTATAATAAATTATGTCTATCCTCATCTATAAAAAGCATCTAAAACTACTGTGGATGGACATTGAAGATGAAACAATTGGGTATAGATATAACATTTTGGGAAAGGGCCCATGTAGGTTAATAAACGAATAATGCAAGCACAATGACCACCTTTCAGTGTTTCAAAGTGGTCATGGTGCAAGGACCCTTTATGCGCAGAATTTCAACATGAAACAATACCCATACTTACATATTTAATGTTGTAACTTATGGCAGTGTTATTAGAATGAGAGCTCTCATCTGTTCACCAAGTGGCTGACAGTAGGCGACAAATCGTATTAACTTATAACTGCTCTGCAAGTAGGTAGAAGTAGCCCATTGCAGGAGATTGTTGTGCTAATGTGGTGGTTGAGGAGTGCACCCAGCACAGAGTAAGGGCAGCTGCAAACTAATCAGCCAGCCTTAAAGTAGAGCAGCCTGGCCTTGCCAAGGGAGGAGGCAATACTTTGCAAAATGGTTTTCATCCCTAATAAAGAATGGCCCTAGAGCAGCGTTTTCCAATTGGTGTTCCGCGGAACACTAATTGGAGTTCCGCCAAAAAATGTAAAAATAAAATGGCCGCGGGAGGCAAGGGAGCAGTGAGCAGTTGTCTCCCTGCTCAGCTCCCTCGCGTGCACAGCAGTGATGCTGGAGCCGGAATATGACGTCACTCTGGCTCCGGCATTTCTAAGAGGTGCGCGAGGGAGCTGAGCAGGGAGATCACTGCTCCTTCGCTGCCAGCTGCTCAGCAGCCCCACTGGACCCCAGGGATTTCATGCCAGCTGCCAGCAGCCCCACTGGACCCCAGGGACTACATGCCAGCACTCCTAAAGGTATGGGGGCTGGGTGGAGTAAAATGTAAAAACAAAAAACTAAAATTGTATGTGTGTCTGTTAGGGAGTTTGTATGTGTTTGTGTGTTTGTCAGTGAGAGTGAATGTGTACTTGTCAGTGAGTGTATGTGTTTGTCAGTGAGAATGTATCTGTTCTTGTCAATGAGAGTGTATGTGTGTCTGTCAAAGAGTGTGTGTGTTTGTCAGTGAGAGAGTATGTGTGCCTGTCAAAGAGTGTGTGTGTATCTGTGTCAAGGTTTGTGTATGTGTCACTGTGTGTGTGTGTATGTGCCAGTATGTATCTGTGTGTTTGTATGTGCCTGTGTATGTGTATCTGAGTGTGTCAGTGTATATCTGTGGGTGTGTGTATTTGTGAGTCCAGATGTGTGTGTCAAGGTGTGTGTCAGTTTGTATCTGTGTGCCAGTGTATGTGTATATCTGTGTGTCAGATACATATACACACACAGATACACACTGGCACATACAAACACAGATATACACACCTTGACACACCGGCACATACAGACACAGATACACACACACCTTGACACACCGATAGATACATACATACAAACACACACACAAACACACACACACAGATACACACTGTGTGTCAAGGTGTGTGTATCTGTGTGCCACTATCTGCCAGTGTGTGTCAGATTCATATACACTGGCACATACAAACACAGATTCACACACCTTGATACACAGACACATAAAAACACAGATACACACACCTTAATACACACACCTTAAAACACAGATAGATACATACATACATACACACACAGACACATACTGTGTGTCAAGGTGTGTGTATCTGTCAGTGTGTGTATCTGTGTTCCACTACCTGCCAGTGTGTGTATCTGTGTGTCAGATTCATACACACTGGCACATACAAACACAGACACACACACCTTGATACACAGACACATACAAACACAGATACACACACTTTGACACACAGATACACACACACAGATACACACTGTGTGTCAAGGTGTGTGTATCTCTGTGTGTGTGTGTGTGTGTGTGTGTGTGTATGTGTGTTAGATATACAACTGGCACATACGAGCACAGATATGCACACCCTGACACACACCAGCACATTAAAAAAAATGGCACAATTGTATTGTTTTTTTCTGGGGGGATGGAAGGGGGGGGGAGAGAGGAGGTTCCACAATTTTAATACACTATGTCAAAGGGTTCCACAGGAGAAATTAATTGGGAACCCCTGCCCTAGAGTAATCCTGGCATTATAACCAAGATAATGTCCATCACAATTATTCCCCTAGAAGACACTGGAGTGTCTGTGCTTAAGGCAAGACATAAATATAGTGCAATTAGATTGTATTATGTACGATAAAATGGGAAAAGAAGGTGCAGTCTATCAGACAACTGAGACTCCAAGAGCTGAATTTTTTCTGTTTTTATCTAAAAGATTTTATTAAGTGCTAGTTTTACCTGGTTCTTTTTGTAATTTGGATACATTCAAAGCATTAAGAAAGCATGTTTAATGAATCCTAAAACATATGCAAAATGATATTAATAATTCTGATATTGTGTTCATTGTGTGCCATTATCGATACAATATTTTGACATGCTCCTCCTCTATCCTTATTATATTTTAGAGAAAGACTTAAAAACTCGTCGGAGAGTATCCCTCATTAGTCGTGAAGAATTAGAAGATAAATTCCTCAGACTTCATGAGGATAACCTGCTTCTCAAGGATTATGCCAGAAAGCAAGAGGATAAAATCAAGAGGTAACATAACACCATCAATTACTCTAATTAACCAGGTCATCAATTTAATATTTTTGGATCAGCTTTTAAAATTTTTGGATGAACCTTTCAAATTATCTAAAAATAATTCTTATTAAATTTAATTGGGACTTCTGTAGATAAATAATGTAAAGTCTCACAGATTGTAATCATTTGAAAAGCATGTCCAAAACATAGTAAATTAAGGCCTAAGTTGGTAATTATCAGCCCCATGTGAAAATAAAAGGTATAAAGGTTTACATTCCTATAATTTCATATTTTAATTATATGTTGGGAGCAGGGGTAGATCCAGAACCTAATCTTAGGAGGGACACTGGTAGATTATTTAAAGAAACAATCCAGGCCCAATTAACACTACAGCTCTCTGTAGTCGTTATGGTGCCTGGAGTACAGTGTAGCTGCTGTGACTGCCAAGTGTGGGGCTGGGTGTGTGCACAATGGAGATGGCGAGAGAGCTATAATCTTTTGCTCTGCTCCCTGACGTAGTGTTGTAATGCCAGCGCTGGAGTGATGTCATATTCCGGCTCCCAGCATCACAGCACAGTACGCGAGGGAGCAGAGCAAGAAGATTACAGCTCCCCTGACGCCTCCCTTGCACTCACTCCCAGCCACCTGTGGGGGGCTCTAAGGTGGCCAGCTGGCCAGCTCCTGGGTTCCCCATGACAGGCTGAAGCCCCAGAACACGCTTCTTCCCCCGGATAGTGCACCCAAGGCAAATGCCTTGTTTACCTTGAGAAGAATCCAGCGCTGCCTAGGCATCATGGGCAACAACATTACTCAGAACACAGAAGTGCAATGGACAAATACGTATTACTAAATGTGTTAGTTTATGGTCCAGTAATGAGCAACAGAAGGTGAAGGCTTATTTCATTTCATTTCACAGAATGAGTACAAAATTGCTGCGCTTGACAGCAGATCTTGGAAAGACAGGGGAGAATAAAACAGCGAATGTAAGAAGAGATGGGAGAGACCTTGAAGCTGAGGAAACCATTGAAGACTTACAAAATCATGTGAGAGACCTGGAGCGGCGAAATGAAGCCTTACGAAATCGAGTAATCACATTCAAGCAACGTCTTCAGTTCCAAGATGGATGTAGACACTGTCCATACAGTACAGTATCTGCAAGGATAGATTCTGGAGTCAGACGAAATGCAACTCTACCAGAGAAAACAAGGAGAGGTGAGAGAGATGTACACATAGACAGCCAGACAGAGAAATATATGTGAGATCTGATTAAAAGAGAAGTACATAGTATTTAAAAATATTTGGAAAAAATATGTTACTTTAGCTCTGTGTGTTATTTCAGGCCTACGTGTGCAAAGTCTGGAGAAGAGGCCTCCACAGATGTGTGAAGAGGCCCTCAGTGATGAAGCCAGAGCAGAGATTGACAGACTGTGAGTACTATTTTACAGCATCTATAGCTTGCTTAATATATTTGAAACCGTCCTATCAATTACAAATCAGACTAAGAATTTGTTTATTTACAAATAGTTACATTTATTAAGAAATATTTATTTTATTCAACAGTTTCCAGGTTGTTGAAAATCAAAACTACAAAGTTGATGACAGATCTGCCACGTTGTTAAAAAACATGGTAGCCATGAGGTCAAGGGATGTAGGGACAGAGATGATGCTGTCCCTCCAACGCATTCAGCAAGCTGAAGAACAAAGGTATATTTCATGAGACTTAAAATAGCCACAGGACACAAGTAACATTTGAATCTTTCATAATTAATTATTAAATTGGAACCATCCTGTCTCTTGAAATAATACTACCAAATTAAACAGTGAGAATCAAATATAACTTGTGTTTTATTTATTCTTGTGGTGTTCCATTTTTATTTAAATTTATATTAAAGATTTAAAAACCGACATTACAATTCAAATATGTCTAGTCACAGCCAGGGCACACATTGCAAATCTGATTTATCTTCTCTTATAAATAATGATTGACAGAGCTAACGTGCATGTGCTTAGTTGCCTACTAAAGAAGTATCTCTGCCATTTTATTTTATTTTGTGTGTGTACCATTGGCATAACTAGCCCTAGGCACAAAAGTGCTGATTTCTCTGTAGGTGTAGTGTTTCAAGCAGCATTGCTGCACATACAGAACCGGACTCTGGTTCACCATGACCAATTGAAATCACTGAAGTGGTCATGGTGGTAGGAGTAACCCTTTAACTAATATAATTGTAAACAATAAAACATTTTTGGCCAGCTTATCCAGAAATAATGTAGTATGAGTAGACCTTCAGCTTACATCTATGATTTATTGCTACTATAGTTCCAATACACTATACACTGATCAGTCACAACATTAAAACCACCTGCCTAATATTGTGTAGGTCCCCCTCGTACTACCCAAACAACTCTGATGTGTCAAGGCATGGACTCCACAAGACCTCTGAAAGTGTCCTGTGATATCTAGCATCAAGACATTGACAGCAGATCCTTTAAATCTTGCAAGTTGAGAGCTGGGACTTCCATGGATTGAATTTGTTGTTCCTACACATCCTACAGATGCTCAATGGGATTGAGATATGGGGAATTTGGAGACCAAGGCAACACCTTGAACTCTTTGTCATGTTCCTCAAACCATTTCTGAACAATGTTTGAAGTGTGGCAGTGTGCCTTATCCTTCTGAATGAGGCCTATGCCATCAGGAAATACCATTGCCATGAATGGTTGTATGTGGTCTGCAACTATCTCTAGATAGGTGGTATGTGTCAAAGTAACATCCACTGAATACCGGGCCTCAAGCTTTCCCAGCAGGAAATTGGCTAGTGCCTAACACTGCCTCCGCCGGCCTGCCTTCTTCCCATAGTGCATCCTGTTGCCACCTCTTCCCCAAGTAAAAGACACATATGCACCTGGACATCCACCTAATCAAAAAGAACATGTGATTCACCAGACCATGCAACTTTCTTCCATTGCCCCTCATTATTCAGTTATGATGCCCCCATTGACAGGTGTCATTGTGACAATATAATCAATATTGTTCACTTCACCTTTCAGTGGTTTTAATGTTGTCTCTGATCAGTGTATGTAAGCAATGTACGCCTGGTCCTAAACAGACTGCCCTACAGAAAGCTTACATTTCAGAAGTTTGTTTTAAACCATATGAATATAAACAATTTAACCATATAAATTGTTGTCCGGTTTCCATACTGATCATGTATAGTTTCTATTGGGTTTTTGTTGTTTGTTTGTTTGTTTTATTATCCTAGTTAATATAATAAGTAGTAAAATATTCCGGATTATATTATTTTTCAACATTGGTATTGTTTTTTGGGGGGGATTTAACTTCTAATTTCACCTCGATAGGACTATACTGCAGGAAAATGTGATGCATATTCGCCTCCAGAAAGAACTTAGAGAAAAGAATACAAGTCTATGTGCCCTGAAGGAACAGTTCCAACAGCTCAAGGAAGTAAGGATCATTGCAGAGAGAGAACGCCTTCCATGGAGCCAGTGAAAGAAATCTTTCCAAGTCGCTTTTTACTTTGCTTAGGGTTTCTATGAATATATTCATGATCAAAATGCTAATATTTTGTGCACTATAAAATCCTAGTAAAATGTAACATGAAGAAATGACCTGTCCAAAACCTAAGTAAAGTAGTAGTCTGCTCACTTGTTCATTTCTTAACATGTTTGTTTTTTCTTTGTTTTTAGTCATATGAGACAGAACTAGAGGAGGTAAGTGCATAAACTTAGCACCACACTTCAAACTCAAACAACTTACCGAAGTTTCATTTCTCTAAATAAAGTTTAATTTGCAGAGACAGAAAAGTATTAAAGGAACAATAAAGGCATTCAGACAACGTCATCTCAATGAAGTGGTCTAGGTGCAGTGGCCCTTTAGTTTTAATCCTACAATGTAAAACATTGCCATTTAGTAGATACAGCCATGTTATGATTGCAGGGTTAAACTCTGAAATAAAATGCTCCTTAATTTTAGCACTACCTCAAGACTAACTAAAAGTTATCTACTAGTTGTGATACGATTTTTTTTTTAAATTCTTTATAGCTTTATATATAATTTATAATTTACCTCTTCTGCATTATTTGCCTCCCATCAACACCAACAGCAGGGCACCAAGAAGTGACACAGCTATTAGTCTAACCAGCATTCACTTGTTTTGTACAAATGCATGTGTAAATTCATTTGATTTTGTAGAAACGGTGCCGGACAAGAGTCTCTTGCAAGCCATCTGATGAAATCAACAGTAGTTTATTGAATCCATAAGTATGGCTTATGTGTAGATATTCACGATTATTTACTAAAGTGAGTATGCAAAGGGAATTCAAAGTGAACTTAAATTTAAAGCCAAACTGAAAGCATAGGGGAATTTTCCAGTTTGGATATTTTGACCTTCATTTAGAATTTACTTTGAAATCTCACTTTTTGTGAATAACCTTCATCTTCATCTTTAAAGTCTGGTGTGCTGTCCAGAAGATGAAAGTTACTATATAATCTAATATCTGTTTTAACGGCAGTAGAATAAAATAACCTAGTCCCTAGATAAATATGGGATGGCTAAATTCTGTAGAGCCTCCAATGCAGTTTACCAAACCCATGGAGCGATCTCAAAATCACACACATGGAATTGCTCACAAAACTCAAAGATGCTGGTGTAATTCATTCATGGACGGCGTTGAATATTTTTTCCTGTAGAAGCAGAAGTCACTGACATTGAGCCACCAGGCTGTTTTGACCCAGCTGGAGGAACTGAGCACACAACTGAAGGCAGAGAGAGCCAAGGTACTGGCCATGGAAGTAGATCAGCAAAGTGTCAGTAATCTACAGACATCTCTGCATGAGGTGAGTGTCAGGCAAATTACACTATATTCTCTCATCAATATATTTCATTTTAATATCTGCTGTATTTACTGCATAATCTGCATTAAGAAGGCAGTTATCTTGCAAAATACACTGTTTAAAGGCACATTGAGCAATCATAAACCACAAAATAATTTGGTCTATATAGTCAATCTTTGAATGTGTCTCTTAAAATAAATATGACCTATAAGATTGTTGGTGTATTGTGAAGAATGCAAGAAGTATTTTCTTTTTGTATTGCTTATTATAAACTTAAAGAGAACATAATCAAAATTATATATATTTTTTTATCAATCTGTCTGTTTTTCTATTTATTGCCCAGATCAAATTACTGCTTTAGGCATGTTGGAAGCCAACTCCCATATCAGTCAGTCATTAGTCATTGAACGAGTGGAGGGTTCTAACACACAAAACAATGATGTTGTTGCATCCTGTGCATGCATGATGTCTACTTGCAGAGTGTTTTATGAGGGTATTTTCTGGTCATTTTGTGAGAACAGATAGAGGGACAAATCTAACCAAGCCCAGTCTTCAAATGGAAAAACTATGATAATAATTTCGTACTATGTAGCCTAACAGGGTTATTCACTAAAGTGAGAATTCATGGGGAATTCAAAGTAAATTTCAACAAGACCAAAGTAGCTGATGTGAAAACATAACTGACATAATTTGTTTCACATTTTGATTATTTTGACCTTTATTCACCTTGATTTCTCACTGTAGTGAGCAACCCTGTAAAAGTAGTATTTGGCTGCTTATGCAAACCAAATTATATAATTTCAGCACATTATTTTATGTAACTGTGGGTTTATTGCAGTTCCAAGAGAGAGTAAATGATCTGGAGAAGGAAAAAGAACTTATCAAAGAACATTATGAAAACCTGGTCAAAAGGTAACGCAACAGTTGGCAAACATGTATTACTAAAGTTATTGTTGGCAAGTCTAGTTTATGAAAAATCGCATCAACTAAATATGGATGTTTTTCCAGAAACTGTGTGATGATTGATAAAAATATTGGTCCATTTTGTCTTGATAAATACTTTAACTTGTCTTTTGTCTTTAATGCATTCTTCAGTACTATGGACTCAGACCGTGTCAACACTTTGCAAGAAACTGAAAAAGAATTGCAAAAGCAGATTTTGCAACTGGAGAGCCAGAATCATTCACTAATGATTGAAGAAACCCAGGTCAAGGACCAACTTCTGCATGAAAGAGGTAGGGACCAGAATTATTCTCATCACCTGCTGGGATGCACATGGAGCTACTCCATAAAGTCTGATCAGCCCTGTACTGAACACAGCAAAAAGATCTGATTGTGAACCGGACCATTCAATCTGCAAAATCTAGACATTGTTCTCACTATTTAGCAATGTCTAAGTTTTGCAAGGAGCCTCAACGTGGCCAAGGTTTCAGCCAGACCAAAAGCTGCCAGATTGCTGAAACCCAGACCCAAATTGTTACTATCCAAATACCAGATATCCCCACTGGCAGCACTAGCAACCAGCGAGCAAATAGCTAAAAATAAAACCTTGGTGGCACGAGGGTTGAGTGAGTTAACCTAAACTATAAAGAAAAGGCCTATTGCAATCAATATGAGTATTTTAGTATGTATCAATTTAGTATTTATCAATAGTTAAAGAAAAAACTCAGGGTTAAGTGATGTGGCAGCTGATGTAATTTTTTAAAAGGACTTTGGGCACACAGGCAGACCAAAGCACAAATTCTAGTATACTGCTCTGTACTGCTCTCCCTGCCATGTCTGTTCCATCTGTCTCGACAGCTCACAGCCAAAACTCTCAGAGCAGACTGGGCAGCACAAAACAATGCTGGGCTTACAAATGATTTTTTGCAATGGAGTCCGATATTTGGGGATGGATGCCCATCATCAACCTCCCACTATTGACACAGCTAGTGACACCCCTACTGATGGTGTCCCCCGATGTGGTCTGCACTCCACACACCTCCATTAGTGATGCAGCTGTAAGATGAGTTTGGTTCCAGTTTTATTTAAAATTGCTGCTTTGTAAATGTCCCACTTTATAGTTTCTATAGGATGTGGATGTGAAACGTACTGATTTCAAAGTTGAGACAAATGCATCCGGTTGAATGACTGACTAAATTCTGATTTGGCTTTAGTAAATATCAGAATTGCCAATCATGTGAGAATTCTGCCATATTTACAAAATGCTGTCCAGCTGGTGTCTAGTTAATCTATCCTTTAGCAAATGGAGGCAACTATGCTCTTTATTCTTATAAATGAAGCAGCATTACTGTGATGCTATAGCAATGTGGATATTTTAAATGTTTATGCTGCATAGATACCATATTATTCTTGAAAATATGAGACGGCTGGAAAAAAATTATATTTATCCAATTTAAAATTTACATAAAGTAAGGGTAGTATGCACTCATATAGACATAGCCAGCACAATATAAACGCACATGTTTTTCATATAGACATAACCAATGTAAAAGAATCATATCACATGTATCATATATACCCATAGTGTAGTGTGTATGTATATGGGACTTTAGAAGCTACAAGCTAAGTATCTATAAAATAATTTTAAGTTAGATAAACTTTTTGTGTCCTTCTGCACTATTGTAATGAAAAAGAGACTGGTACTTTTTTGCATTAAATGACCATACCACTGGTGGCAAGGATGTATTTACCACAAGGCAAACAAGGCATTTGCCTAGGGCGGCACTTTTGGGGGGGAGGGGCACCAAAAAATGCCACCCCAAGCTTCCAGACAAATGCCTTGTTTGCCTCGTGTTCTGGGGCTGTCCACCTTACTGTGAGTGAGTGAGTGAGTGTAGCTGTTAGTATGTCTGTGAGTGAGTGAAAGTGTGTGTCTTTCAGTGAGAATGGGTGTGCCTGTGAGTGTGTGTATGTCATTTTATGTGTATTTGAGAGTGTGTGCCTGTCAGTGAGTGGGTGTTTCAGTGTGTGTCTGTCAATGAAAGTGTGTGTTGGTTAAATGTGTGCTTATGACTGTATGTATGTGCCAATGACTGTGTATCTGTCAGTGAGTGTATATTAGTGCATGTATCAATGAGGGCATGTCTGTCAGTCAAAAAAGTGGCCTTGACACGAATTGGGGGGGGACCAAATTTTGATTTTGGGGGTGCCCGAATTTAGTCGTGCCTAGGGCAGCACAAATCCAAAATACACCACTGACTGGTGGTATTATGTGTGGCTGTTTTGAGGTGGAGCAGAGTGACCCATTTAAGACATTGCAAACACTAGCTGAATCTCTGCTGCAAACTGTCCCTGTCAAATGGTTTTCATATGTTAACAATTTTATAACCCTGTGATGTAATGTATCATCTCTCAGAACAAAAAGAGCACTTCAAGCAAGAAGTTTCTCAACTGCAGATACAGCTTTTAGAGAAAACAAATGATATAATTGGACTTCAGGAGAAAGTATCAGCCATTTTGTCTAGAGACATCCACCGCAAAGGGGAAGTAACATCACAAAACGTGCAGGTGGGCAGACATTCAGTAAGCATCAGTGTCATCCTATAATGTTTCTTTGAAGTACAAAGGCCAAGATATTTTTCAAAGTTCAATTCAAGTAATGTATTTAGTAAAATGTATCATTTTTTTTTAGCTAATTTTATCAATAAGATTAGTGGTGAACCAGCCACTGATGAAGCAAGTGCAAGGCAACAAGCTTTTGCATGTTCAAATGCTTAGGGGTAACCTGGTTTCCCTAAAATATATGGGAATACTATGTATATTTTGTTTGTGTATAAAATCCAACCAAAGAAAATTGGTAAGTCTTCACTGTAAAAAATATGAAATTACACAAGTCATAGCTTTCATAGAAAACTCATGAAGGTGATTTTCTCAGCCATTGAGGTACATTATAAAAAAGATATGTCTGGTGAAGTGTATGAATGCTGTTAATGCAAATATTCTTTAGCAAACAAAATATTCTTTTAATGAGACGCATAAAATATCTGAGTGAGGAGAGTGATGTAACCAGGAACAGGATAGATTACGTAGGATATAATAGGATAGAGTAAGTAGAAATATAATAGGATACATCATTCTAGGTTTGTGGAGGATCCAGCCCTCAAAAATGCTCCAGTTTTAGACCGACCCCTTGAACAACCCTCATGCAGTAGGGAGGAAATGTTTTACTCCAAAGTGAGCAGGAAGTGGAGAGATGATGCCTCCTCTGAAAAAATAACCGTAATATTTTACATTGCAGAGTTAAAACTAAACAACCACTACAACCCAGACCGCTTCCTTGAGATGATGTGCACTGGGTGACTCTAGTGGTCCTTTAATGGTCAAGTGTTCTGAGAATTACTAAAGTATGCCTATTTGCAATTTGTAACAAGATCAAGCTGGTGTAGAATTAGGGTAGAATTAGGGGCAGGATTGGGGGAAAATGTATACATGGGGTTTATCATACTCAAGAACAGTGGCAGAACACGTATGGGGTGTTTACAGTAGTTTACAGTACTTGACCTGTGAATTTTCACAAAATAAAATGTGTGAAAAACCACAAAGCTATTAAACATTTTGACCATGGTTCATGATAAAATGGTTAAATGAAAAGTGTCAAAATGCTTTTAGCTAAATAGCCTGGGTACCTACTTTCTACAAATATATTCTTTTCTGAAGCAGTTTTGAATTCTGCTACTACTATTAAAGTCATACTCTCAACATGCCAAATTTGCTAAGTTTTTATCTTTAACCATAATTACTCCATGCAATATTTGTTTTATAACTTCTAAAAATGTATAGAAATCATAGAAATATAGGGCATTTTAACAATTAGGACTATTTTCAGTAGTTTTCTTTTAGCTGTCCTTGTTGTGTAGAAATTATTAAATGTGAAACTGAGAAAGAACGTTTTGTTTTTTTATTTATTTATTTTAAATATTTTATTCCTATTTAATGTTGTGTTCTATATACATATAGGATAACACAAGAGGTGCAGGAGGGTGGCTTCTACTGGCTGAGGCTATTGGGAGTTAGGCATTGGCTTTTTAACCCCTTAAGGACACATGCTGTGTGACATGTCATGATTCCCTTTTATTCCAGAAGTTTGGTCCTTAAGGGGTTAAATCCATCCTCCCCCTCTGTGCCTTCTCCTCCCTCTCCCTCCCTCGCTGCTCCGTTATCAGGTAGGAAGTGACCAGTTTTCATTTACTCCTAGCACTGCCATTACATTATTAAAGGGTCTGGTCACTCTGTTAAAGGGCCGCCGAGCAGAGCCAGGTCCTTGAAGACACATGCCCATCGGGTGGCCCTCAGCATGCAGGCGCAAATGCATCTGCACCGGTAGCACCAGTGGAAGTTCAGCCGATGTGTATTGGTGCACAGAACGGGTGAAATTGTAGTAGAATGAATACATGGCAAGTGCCAAAGAGGCCTTGGTCAGAAGTGCTTTGCATCTCAAAAGATCCTTGGTCCTTCAAATGGAAGTTTATAATTCCTCATTGGCTCTGGAGTTTTGCTCATGGGAGTAAATAGGCAGAGCCCAATGAACCAGGGGCAGAGTTGAAATCCAGAGTAACTGGACAGAGCCCAATGAACCAGGGGAGAATTTAAAATACAAGGGCAGAGTTTAGCCCCATCCACCATCATTAAACTTCACTAGCCACTATGGGAACAGAGGTACAGTGCATGTCTAAAGTTAAGGATTTTCTTTCAAATTTAGTTTCTTGAAGTAGAGGAATTTGACAGACTGAGAGATACAAACAAATCAGTGGAGAGATGGGATGAAGAGAAAAGGAGATTAGAATACAAAAATAATGTCAAACCAATTAGAAATGAAGAAGAAACTCAAAGGGAAAGCACTGAGAACAGGACAGAGCAAGATCAACATCAAGAGAAGGAGTTACAGAGGAAAATACACACTATGGATGCAGCACATGCTGAGACAATCCTGGAACTTGAGAAGACACGGGAGATGTTGCTCCTGCAACACAAAATCAATATGGACTACCAAGTAAGTGGACAGTGTAGGAGACAAACTAGATTATATAATTTGATATTATATGTATTGGGTCAACTATGTGGTACACATAAATCTACTTTTAAAAAACATGAAACAAAATAGAAAATACCAAAATAAATATACAGTTGTTGAATTTGAGACTTCCCTGACTTGTTAAAAACTATTCTTTCTCATTAATTTTCTCTATCTTTTGTCAGGAAGAGCTTAAAACTGTGAGACTAAGAGCTGAGAGTGAAAGTCGAGATAGAGAAGACATGGAACACAACTACAAAGACAGACTACTTCAGAGAGATACAAGGATCAAACTATTGGAGGGTAATGTCTAGTTGTAATTCCCCCAGTCATCAAAAGTTAGACTTTCATCTCTAGCAGGGTCTATGATTGACCTACTTATTAAAACAGAAAGGAATGGGCTTACATAAAGTCCTACAAGAGAAAAGAGTAAACGCTAATTAACAATTGGGCAGGAACCCTAAAAGGTGGCATCCCTCAAGACCCTTTTAAAATACAAAGTGATAAAAGAGAAGTAAGGGCTGCGCCAAAGTCCTATAGCAATACACAATCCAATATAAAACCGTCCAAATATACGTGAAAGAGTCTAAATGGAATGATCTTACTCAGATCAGATAATAAATAAAGTGCTTGATCGAGAGTAATAACAAACAAAATGCTCAAAATACTAAATATATGAGTATCAACTGGAAATCTGGTTACTGAAAAATAATGAATGTAAATAAATAAAAGTGGTATAGGTAGATAAGTTCAAAAATTCAAGGTAAATGGTCAGACAAAAGGTAATACAGGCCAAGTGGCTAACCTCCTGTTCCAGTGTCTCTGAAACTCTCAGACTTAGACTTAAATATAATCCTGGTTTGATAAGTGTGGGCTATAAATCAAAATAGATATAATGAGAGACCTAGAAAAATGCTTTAACCCTTGGCCCACACTTATCTCAGATATTGACCAAACCAGGATTATATTAAAGACTAAGTCTGAGAGTTTCAGAGACTATTCTAGAGACACTAGAACAGGAGGTTAGCCACTTGGCCTGTATTACCCTTTTGTCTGATCATTTACCTTTAATTTTTGAACTTATCTACCTATACCACTTTTATTTATTTATTTACATTCATTATTTTTCAGTAACCAGATTTCCAGTTGATACTCATATATTTAGTATTTTGAGCATCTTGTTTGTAGTTTCTATATTTAGGGGTTATGCCCCATGACACGTCTGGAGTGTCTTATAAGGTGCTATCCTCTACTGGTGTAGTGGATTAGTATGGCTTTAAACAGCTACTACCTGTAGTCATTGTTTCTTTTGTATATTAATTAATAAGAAGAACCAAATAGTGTGATATGTACAGTCCAATATATTCAATATGTGGAAGAGATGGTAATAAACTCACATTTGTTAGAGCTAGCTCTAGTGTGAAGGGCGCACAGCGGTACAATCCCCCCTTAGGGGATATGCAGTAAGCTTCTTCTGTCAGGGGTATGTTCAACACTCAGGAGAAGGGTAAAAAGAGACGACTAATAGTGCACACTGAATAAAACAGTAGTAATAAGATACTCACAAGCGAAGAGCAGGCTAACTGCTCTTTGATGACCGTGTTGGTGGTATGATCCCAACCTAGGATTTCTTGGAGTACAGGATGGTTAAAATGCCAGGTAAAAATGAATTCAATAGAAAGTGTATAAAAAGATGATTGGCACAAGTAGAGTGACCAAAAAATCTTTAATCAGCTAAAATACACAATATAAAATTTCCACAATGCGTTTCGACGTCTTCAAAATGGAATAAAACATAATACCTGGCAGTATGGGTTTAAATAGGGATAGAAATGATTAAAATTGGCAATATGTGAATGATTAAAATTGGCAATATGTGTGCAGATGATGGAAAACTACATTTCCCAAGGGGTCTTAGCGGTATAACCCAAAGTCACAGAAGTCATGTGATTCCATTTATTTGTTTATATTTTACTATACAAACCTCGTTCCTTCTATTAAATCATAGACAAGAGGCTGGCAAGGCATTTGCAAGGGCGTTTGGGGGGGGCGGCTTTTTTCACCATCCCCTTGAAAGTGCCGCCCAAGGCAAATGCCTTGTCAGCCTCTCGGTAAATACACCGCTGCCTATTGCTATTTGGATGATCTCAGCCAATTCTGATGATCTCAGCCAAGGAGGCGTTGCACCAATCAGCATCTCCTCATATAGATGCATTGACTCAATACATTTCTATGGGGAAAGTTCAGTGCCCCTATGCAGAGCATGGAGAGGCACTGACCCAGGAAGTGTCTCTTGTTATCATCTGAGTGACTGCCACTGGATGTGTCCCTTGTCAGCAATGTAAACACTGCATTTCTCTGAGGGACGGTGTTTATCTGAAAATGCCTGCAGGAACTGACTATACTGACCAGAATAACTACATTAAGCCCCTATATGACACAAATTGCATTGTATACACACTTTTTGTTTAGATCTTCACTAACAATATAAAAGTATTTGAATTTGAAATTTTTATTTTCGTAAAATTGTATTATTCTTACTTTTCCCACTTCTTGTGGGCATTCTCTCTACGTAATTCCTACAGTTGTATATATAAATGGCCCACCCATGATCAGCTCAATTACACTATTGTTACAATGCTGTCCTGTGTGTGTTGCTCATCTCTTCCAGCACAACTCAAGGATATTGCATATGGTACATTTCCTCCTCGAGTAATCCATGCTGAGCCTTCTTCTCCTGATGTGGATTCCTCCCACCCTCCTGCTCTTCATAGGGGGGAGACGCTGTTTGAGGTTCATTTTGGGGGTATCTGCTTTTCCCCACGGGGACTGAGAGATATTGATGACCCACAGCCAGTCACCTTCTGCATCTATTCCTTTTATGACTTTGAGACACATGCCACACCTGTCGTGAGTGGAGCTAGACCGCAATACAACTTCACTTCCAGTTATGCTGTTGTCCCAGATCCTGACTTTCTTCGCTTCTTACGAGTGGGAACTTTGACTGTGGAGCTTTATCAAGTCATAGGGAGTGAGCACCGTGAACTGGCCAGGGGTAGACTGCAACTTGAAGCTACTTTACAAAGTACAGAAAAAGTGCACAGGACTACAGAACTGACTGGTAATATCCCTAGCCTTCAATTGAGGAACCTAGATTTATATATGTCATCAGTATGAGGGGATAGATGTGTTTTCTTTGTTAGAGACTTGAACATTGTTTGGGGTATGTTTCTATTAACTGTTTATGTAATTTCCACGTTTGGATAGTTAATTACAAAATGAAACACACTTTGATTTATTGATGCCTAATTGCAATGCTAGGTTTAGGTAGTGCTTGAAATAATTAAAGAAGCCTTGTGCTGGCCATGCTATGCATATATTTGTACTTACTGGTACCTAGTTGTTAACTTACAAGACGTTGGCTAATAATAACTCATACAGAAAGTAGAAAAGAAGAATGAAGAATGTTGATTTCAATATGCACACCATATTTTTAAGATTCCTGTGGAGAAATAATTGGAGAGCTGGATTATTGGCTGCATTTCCATGGACCTCTATCCCAGACTCAAAGATTACAAAGACAGAGAAACAAAGCGGCTGGTTACCTATCCACTCACAGACAGGGTGCTGCTCCCAAGGTGGGCCAATTTATTGTGATAATGATAGTAAGAGAGAAAAAAGATGCTTTGCACAAAACTGTGATTCATCCCATAATATTGTGGTCTTTTTTAATTACATGTATCCATGTGATATCAGAGGAGACGCTGACAACCGATGGCTTAGGGGCAAGTGCAAGCAAATAGCCTTTTTTAAGCATAAACAGCACAAACCTCTTTGAGGATGGCTGTGCTGACACAGTTCATGTGATACATAGGTTTGATAGATAGAGGCTACTGGAATTGGTGTGGCACCTTATATACCTGCAAAGTCCATCAGGATCACCTACACAGTATGAAGAGTATTTACAGACATATCTGTGTTTCTAAGAGACTCACACTGGATTATGTAACTCCGTTAGCACCAATGATGACTGGTATATGGGGGGGAATGTCATGTCACCCAGCTGCCACTTTCAAGCTCCTTCAGAGAAAACCATACATACCCAGATGCTGCAGTCTCCATGGAAAGCACTGAGTTTGCAGACTGCTTGCCCATGTAAAAACCTATACAGTGTTGTCCCTAGAAAGACCCTTTACAATTCCTGCTCACACCTGCTGTCACACACCTGCAGTACTCTTTTAATCTGCAGGAGAATGGCTCTGGGAGGTTGCGCTGTAATGCTATTGGCAATTTCCCTCTTGCTACTCTTGGTAACGCTTAATTGTGTAGCATGGACAAAGTCAACAGAATTGTAGTGTATAACAAAATGATATCGATTAACATGAAATTGTGATTACATTTTGAAAATGCATCATATGTGCAAACAGATGATTGAATGTCCCAACACTAATGTTTTTTGTTCCAGTCCATCGTGTCATCTCTCGCTGATGGACCCCAGAATGTGCTGGTCATTCGGATCTGGAGCTGCAGAAGGCTATGGGGAGGGCGCATTGGTTACCAACCTAGTCCTTATGCTGTTTACCGCTTCTACCATCACCAAGACCACTCCACCTGTATCATACCATGCAGTAATAACCCCCAATTTGGGGATGAAGCATTCTACCCTGTGTCCTTGACTATTGACTTGGAGAGATATCTTCACAAGGAGCATTTGTATATTTACGTGTTTGATGATGAGGAGACAAAACCTGGAAGTTACCTGGGTAGAGCAGAGGTGCCACTCCTAACCCTGGCACAGGGAAACAGCATCCAAGGTGAGAGATTAATATAAAGTGAAGGTGGCAGCATAAATGTTCATAATGTTTCCACTATCAAACACATCCAGTTAGTTTTGTTATAACCAGAGAGCATGAGTGACATCTTACATTCATTGTGCATGCAGATTAATAGAACACACACAATAGAATACACAGTTGTTACTTAGTAAAACATTTTTTGTTGAGGTTTGGCATAGCTGCCTGGAAAAGTGAGTTCAAACATGAAATAGAAGTATTAATATTGGGTCTTGGTCATGAAAATGTGAAATGTTAGCAGATCTAATATCCAAAAGTAGATGGATAAGAAAAAGTTATCAGACAGTGGGCCCTGAGCCATCGGGAACATGCAACAGGACAATAGCAAGTTTGTTCAATAAAACTCACTGCAAATACCAATGTGTTAAATGAAATGTTTTAGAGTTTTTGTCTTTTAGGAGTTTCAAGCGAGTTAATGAAGATTCGCCAGGTGTGAAAAAATATTTTGGCTACTATATCCTTATTGGTACAGGTTTGCAACCAATCCATATGAAAGGCAAAAGATAATTTTGAGCAAAGATGGCAGGGGAAGGTGGGCGGTGGGGTGGGGTAGACTGAATCCAATTTTATAAAATGGATTTCCTGACTGCTGCTGCTGCCATATTAAGCATTAATTTAAAGTTCTGAGATATGGCAAGGTGGGCAAAAATTCCAGTATCGCTGATTCAGGAGACACAGGGAAAATATATTCAGAGAGTGAGTAGCATAATTTTGAATAACCCTAAATTATTTAAACTTCTATTTTTAATATGGTCATCAACTGAAATTTTAGCAAAGGAACATTATAAAAATCCAAACTATTTCCTTGATAGCCAGCCACCATTAAAAATTTAAATAAATTAAAAGAAACAAACCTATGAGGGTCAATATGACTCCAATATCAGATAAGGGAGTTTTAACACTTCCTTCCCTTTAGCCCCCACCATCCATACTCAGTGGTGTATTTTGGATTTGTGCTGCCCTAGGCACGACTAAATTCGGGCACCCTCAAAATCTAAATTTGACCCCCCAATTCGTGTCAAGGCCACTTTTTTGACTGACAGACATGCCCTCATTGATACATGCACTGATATACACTCACTTACAGATACACAGTCATTGGCACATACATACAGTCATAAGCACACATTTAACCAACACACACTTTCACTGACAGACACATACTGACACACCCACTCACTGACAGGCACACACTCTCAGATACACATAAAATGACATAGACACACTCATAGGCACACCCATTCTCACTGAAAGACACACACACTTTCACTCACTCACAGACACACACTGACAGCTACACTCACTCACTCACTCACAGTAACGTGGACAGCCCCAGAACACAAGGCAAGCAAGGCATTTGTCTGGGAGCTTGGGGTGGCATTTTTTGGCATCCCCCTGAAAGTGCTGCCCTAGGCAAATGCCTTGTTTGCCTTGTGGCAAATACATCCCTGTCCATACTGCAGGTGGGGGCACATCTACTACACAGTGTGAAGTCAGTGGCTGGTCACTGTAACTAAAAACTAGTGACTGGGCAGCCCATGGGTCCTGTAAACTGTTACTAGTCTTGTCATGCCCTCACCTGTAGACATCAGGTGGGGGTTTAAAATTCAATAATATCTACCCCCTGTGACTGCCTTTTGTCAGCATGTAGGGGCTCTATGAAAAAAAAACATGGGGGAAGTCCACATAGCTGTAACCGCAGCTGGTTCCCTTATTTACCACTATAACGTCTTAAAGCATACTTAGTAGGGCTAACCTAAATAATTGAGAATACAATATAAAATAAGGATTGTCTTGGAAGCAATAAAGTTTTGTCTTTTTAGATATTTTATTAAATGGGGGATCTGGGGGGGAGAGAGACACACAGAGGGCCTAGGTGAGGGAGAAAGAGAAAAACAAAAGGGGTTGGGAGAAAAAGACATACAAAAGGGGCTCTGGGGAAGAAAGTGTAACACAAGAGGATGGGGGGTGATATACAAAAGGATCTGTGGGGGGAGACCCACAGAAGGACTGGATAGGAGGTGAAATAGACAAACAGAGGGCCTAAGGGGAAAGAGACACACAGTAGGGCTGTGGGAGAGAAATATACAGAAGGGCTGGGGAAGTGGAGAAAGAGACAGACAAAAGGGTCCAGGGGTAATGGGGATAAGATACACTAAAGGGGGTGTAAGACACAAAAGTGGGTATAAGAAACACAAAAGAGAGGTTAAGAGATACACTGGTGAAGAAGTATTTTTGGGGGGGTCCGTTTGGTGGCAAAATGCAACTTCACCAGTGGAGCCAAAAATCCTTGCACCAGTGCTGATGATGTCACAATTTGTGACACCAGCAGCCTTCATCTGTCACACCCATTTGTCCATATATCATCTGTGGAGTGCATGTAGAGCCATCTTCAAATAAATAATTGTACTTGGGATGTTAAAAAAGGCAATTAATTTATTCTTGCCCCAGGCCAAAATTTCCTGGTCCTTCATTGAGAACCACAGTCTACATCAATCTTAAAATAAAGGATCTGGCACACTGTTTTTGAAACCTAACCTCAGGGTCGCTAAAAGACCAGGGTTTTGGAATGTATACTGTTGCACACTGTGTCAATGAAAATTATGGAAATGAATAGGAGATTAACTCGAGACAGGTATATATAGTACTGCTAAGCCTCAATCATGTTAAAGTAGAATAGACACCCAATAAGATCATTAGGGAATAATATGCATTGAACTAACATTTTTATTTAAAGAATATCAACTAGCGATGTCCCTAACGGTTCGCCGAACAGTTCTCGAACGGTTCGCCACAGACTCCAGTCAGCAGACACATTCCAGCCAATCAGCAGCAGAACCTCCCTCCCAGACCCTCCCACCTCCTGGACAGCATCTATTTTGAAGCTGCATTCTTAGTGAGTTGTCCAGGAGGTGGGAGGGTCTGGGAGGGAGGGTCTGCTGCTGTTTGGCTGGAATGTGTCTGCTGACTGGAGTCCGCAGCGAACCGTTCGTGGCGAACCGTGGCGAACCGTTCGGGACATCACTAATAAAATCTTTTCAGATATTTTTAATAATATATTTGTGTGCTTGTAATGTGAACACAATTGTCCATTAATGTTCTGCCTCTGAATTAACAGGGTTACTAACTGAAGTAAGAATTCAAAGTAAATTCAAAGTGAATTTCAAATTCAAGGCAAAAATAGCCTATGCGGAAATATTCTCTAAATCCGCTGTGCTTTCAGTTCGTCTACTTTGGTTTTAAATTTGAAAATCACTTTGAAATCTCAGGAAATAACCCTGTACGCATTATTTTTGCCTACCAGTATGGTTTCCGGGGCCACCCTGTATTCTAGGACATGTAAATAATTTTTTTTAGAAAAATTATTTAATTATGTAATTTTTAAGGAATTGAGGGATTAACCAAAATTCCTGCAGCTTCTGAATTCTACATTTTACAGTGCAGAAAAGGTATGGAGGATCTAACAATCTTACATCGAAATCTCAGACCTAACAGTATCCCTGCTTGTAGACCCTTCCCTGTATTGTGTGACTACAGCCTAGAATTGTTATAGACTAAACAAAATGTAAGAGCAGCCCGATTAAGCTAATTCCTCTATATCAAGATGTGCCCAGTTTGTCACGGGGATTTAAGTGGTTAAATTATTCAAATAAGGTGTTGATCATAAGGCTATATGCAGTTGCAAAAATTTCCTAATTAGTAAGTGGAAGTACACATTAAGATATATTAACCCACTTTGTTTTATTTACACAGGTGATTTTGCTCTTTTAGACCCTGTGGGGAAGTGCTCTGGGTCGGCACAGGTCAGTTTGGAATGGAAGTTTCCTTATAAGGCACCAGGCCACCAGGTCTGGGAATCAGTCACTAGTTGCCATCCACTTCCAGAGAGGCTGGAAAGATCACATTCACAGGTAAGTTAGTTGCAAAGACAGATATTTGGGGAGTTATACAGATATCTCACAGTATCACTCAGCAGCAATATGTGATGATGGGACTGTCACTACTGAAGATAAGAATAAAAAAGATACTGGAGTCTATGTCAACTGTCTCAGCAAAAATAACTTTTCTAGAAATATAATGAATCTGATCTTAATCTAATCATAATGATAGACAAACAGTGGCACTTTTAATTTTGTTTGTTTTTTAATACATTGAGTAATCAGCAGATCTACAGTGGAGGTTCAAATGCATGTATGAATTTTGGACCATTCCTCCCTATAAATCTGTTTTCAGTTCATCAATATTTCTGGATTGTTTTCCTCCATTCCTCTCAACAAATTTGTTTAATTTCATCAATATTTCTAGATTGTCTTGATTGCACAATGCTCTTCAGGTCATTCCACAGCATCAGAATTGGATTAAGTTTATGACACTTACTAGGCCATCCCCAAACATAAAACATCCTTTTCAGCCATGTCTTAGTTGATTTACTTGTACTTAATGGGTCATTGTTTTGTTGCATTGCCCGATTTCTCTTGAGCTTTAGGTCAAGGACTGCACTGACATTCTCCTGTAATGTCTGCATATACTTTTGGATTCGTTGTTCCCATAATGATTGCAAGGTGTCCAGGCCATGAGGTAGGAAAGAAGCCCCAAACCATGATACTATTCCAGCATGCTTCACAGCTGGGATGAGGTTTCATGTTGGTGTTTGGTGCAATTTTCCTCCACATGTAACACTGTGTATTTTTGCCAAAAAGACAACTTTTGTCTCATCTATCCACAGCACATTTTCCTAGAGGCGTAGTGGAACTTTCAGATGTTCTTGGGCAAATTTGAGACATTTTTTTTTTTTTTACATTAGTGGTTTCATGGTGATCTTCCGTGAGCATCATTCTTGTTTATTGGTTTAATGACAGTGAACACAAAGCCTTGCACAGTTTATAGAGTTTTCTGGAGGTCTTTGTTGCTACCCTTGGGTTCCTTCTCACCTATTTTAGGGTTGCTCCTTGTGTTTATGGAATGACCATTTCAGGATGCTCACCCCTATGGAGAACAGCAACAGTCCTGAAATTTCCCCCTTTGTAGACAATTTGTCTCACTGTGAATTGATGAAAACCAAGGTCTTTAGCAATGTTTTTATAAGTTTTTCCAGCCTCTCAATAATGCATTTTCCTGTGAAAGTTGTTGGGGTCTAGCAATAAAACATGAAACAATCTTTCTGGAGAAGAACATATTTGTGGGTAACCAGGGTTTGTGTGAAATTATTTAAAGAAAAACTACAGGGTCAGGAACACAAACATGTATCCCTGACCCTGGAGTGTTAAATTCACCATCTAGCCCTCCTTGCCCCACCCCCACTCTTCCCTGTGTCCCTAAATATAGCAAAATCCTACTTTTAGTCAAGTCTGCTGCTACTGGCTCTGCTCCTGATCTGCCTGCTTGACTGACCTCATCAGAATTAATTCTCTGAGCCAATCACATAGGATTTACTGAGACTGTCAAGAAGGCAGAGGCAGCCAGGGCCGGCCCGTCTCCAGGCAGCACTTTTACACTGTAAAGTGCCTGCTGTGGAACCTGGGTCTTCTATATATATATATATATATATATATATATATATGTGAAATTCTGGGCCTCTGTTACCTTGTCCTGTGAAGAGCGGGCCCAGAATTCTTATGTTTCCTTCTTGCAGCTTCAAATGTGCTCTTCTTATAAACCGTGAGAGTGTAGCCGCAGGTTGCCATGACAACGCTATTCCGTGCGGAGCGTTGCCATGGCAACCAGTGGCAACACTCAAGCAGCTCGCAAGAGGAGAAGACCTGAAGCTGCAGGAGGGAAAGAGCATACTTCTGGGATCCCTCTCCACAGGACACAGCAAAATGTGCCACTGGACCATCATGGAACTAGTGTCCCCCTCCCTGACCAAAGGTAAGAGGCAGGGAGGGGAAAATACAATTTATATACAATACATTTTACAAATACATTACATTTAAAAAAACTGTTCGCCCTTCACAGCCCCACTACAAACACTACAAGCACTACACACACTAAAAGCACTACACACAGTCAGACACTGTATCCACTACACACACTACAAGCACTACACATAGACACTTCATCCACTACACCTACTACATGCACTACACCGAGACAATGCATCCACTACATGTGCTATATACAGACACTGAATCCACTACACGCACTACACACAGATACTGCACCCACTACACAAACACAGACACTGTACACACTACACAACATCCACTACAAAGACATTCCACCCACTACACTGCATCCACATATACACTGCATCCACTACACACACACTCTGTGGGAGGAATGGACCTTGATAGCACTAGGAGGCAAGCATAGGAGGCTAGTAGGCTTTGGCTAGGGGTTTAATAGGGGATTCGCTTAAGGGGGTGCATATTCTGTCCATTTTAGGTAGTGGCCATATTAACTAACCTACCCTTACCTGTAGTTGTGCTCCTGACTCATCGCGTGCGGCTCAGGGAAGGTGCCTGGAAGAGGGACAAAGTTTGCCGCTGGATGTTCCGGACTCTCTGGGAGTCGACAGAAGGAATGACCGATAAGGCGGTAAGTCACCCTCTAAACCACAAACAAAGGATTTCATGGATAGCTGGACACAATTTGGGAGAATTTGGGATCATCCAGGGGGCGGGTGCACCTAAGGAGATGGGGGCGCTATGTCAGCAGATTTGAGCAGAAAAGATGATGCGCAGTTCCTGCTGCAATATCGGGGGAAGCGGATGAACAGGGCGAACTGGCGGGGCTTATACCTGATGCAACATGGCAGAACGTGCATGTATCATTCGCCGGACCATTAGGGTGTCATCTTAAACAGGACATGAAAGAAAGGATTTGGCAGGGGGAATTTCTAGAGATATTTTCCCTTCTCCTGCTGGAGGAGTATCTTGACTTCAAGGATGAGGACCTTAAGGATGTCAAGAAGGAGGAGGAAGAGAAAAGGTGGAGGTATTGGAAGATACCAAAGTCTTTCGGTAATTGGCTGCGGTCCTTTTGTATATTAGCCAGTGTACTAGGGGAAAAATTCCAGGAGCGTTGTTCCCAGTTCTTTTGTTACTTAAATGGGATCTGGGAGGCCTATCATACGTATTGGGGCTTAGCATGGTGGAAGTACGACAAGCAATTTCGGCAGCATTCGTTGGCAAATCCGGGAATGCGGTGGGACCAGATAGGCCTGCCTTTATGGCTTAAATTGATGATGGCACAAAAGGCAAATCCCCCTTTTCAGGAAGGGCCGGCCGCTCAGAAAAAAAGATTCTGTTGACTATTCGATGAGGGACATTGCAAGTGGGGAGCTATTTGTAAATTTAAACACAAGTGCTCCAGCTGTGGGGGTGGGCATGGATATCATAAGTGTTTTTAAACAAGGTAAGGCTGCAGCAGGGGGAGAAGGGGGAACTATCACTGTCCAATCCACTTCCACGGGGACCAACGCCGGTGAAGGTCGGCGCAATGTTGCCTTGGCTAAGCCACTATGCTAACCAAAATGATGCACGCTTGTTGCGGGAAGGTTTTTTGGAGGACTTTTTTATTCCATTCAAGGAAAGGGTTGTCATTCGTAGTTTTCACAACCTGAAGTCGGTTTTAGACAAATTATTTAAGGAGGTTGAGCTTGGAAGGATAGCGGGGCCGTTTGTGGATCCTCCGTTCTGGGACTTACGGATTTCGCCATTGGGGGTTATTCCTAAGAAGGATGTGGGTAAATTTAGACTAATCCACCATTTGTTATACCCTAAGGGGTCATCTGTTAATGATGATATCGACTCGGAGCTCTGTTCTGTTTCCTATGCATTATTCGACCATGCAGTTGAATTGGTGAGAAAAGCAGGCCTGGGGGGGCTGCGTGTCAGGATTACTGTTTGATCCAGCACGTAGAACTGTACAGCACGGATGACAAATAAGTAACGTATTACCGGTCCTTAGAATGGCCGGATTTAACGTACAAAGAATAGTCAAAAATACTAGCCGAGGTCAGGGAACACAGAAAGGGACACAGCGATGAGGAAAGCCAGGAGTCAGGATACCAGAATATAGAGAAGTCAATAAACAAAGCCAAAGTCAAAAACAGGTAGAAAACTATAAACAGGAACGCGCTCTCAGACAACCACAAGGGAAACCACGACAGGGCACTGAGCAGGCTGAGAACTGGGCCTAAATACCCCTCCTTTAGTTCTGATAGGCTGTAACCGGCCTTTGACCCCAAAGTCAGTTACCAGGTTTCATTTGCATAATTGCTGCTCAGCATTAACCCTTCTGTGGATTAGGTTGCTGCTCGGCACAACTTTTCCTGTGTGGACAGTAAATGTCATTAACCACTTTTCTATAAGCGGATGAATACATGACACCAGGTTTCATTTGCACAATTACTGCTCAGCATTAACCCTTCTGTGGATTAGGTTGCTGCTCGGCACAACTTTTCCTGTGTGGACAGTAAATATTAACCACATTTCTATAAGCGGATGAATATGTGACACTGCGGTGTGTGTGTGTGTGGTGGGGGCTGAGAGTGTGTGTATGGGGGGGGGGGGGATCTGGCTCCTTAATGGCTAAAGCGGACATTGAAACGTTTTTTCAGTTGTTGCCAGTCCAGCCGGACTGTCATCATCTCCTAGGCTGTTTTTTCAACAATGCTTACTATGTGGATCTCTGTTTACCCATGGGGTGCTCAATATCATGCGCATACTTTGAGAAATTCAGTACCTTCCTGGAATGGGTGGTTAGAGAGGAAACGGGCGGTGGGTCCTTGGTTCACTATCTAGATGACTTGTTGTGCGGCTGACCCGCCAATTCAGGGGCGTGCAGTTATGCTTTACGCTCCTTGGATTGAGTAACTCGCTTGTTTGGGGTTCCATTAGTGCGTGATGGAAGACGGTGGGCCCAACAACGTTGTTTGGGCCTGGAAATTAATTTGGTTGCAGGGGAGTGTCATTTACCATCAGACAAGCTGGTGGCTCTTCTGATGAAGGTGAGGTTGGTTCAGAGTGTGCATAAGGTGAAGCTGCGTGAAGTGCAATCTCTGCTGGGAAGCCTTAACTTCACCTGCTGCGTTATCCCAATGGGCAGGGTTTTCAACAAGTTTTTGGCAAAGGCCACGTGTGGGTTACGATCCCCTCACCATTATGTTCGGGTTTCTAATTCCATGAAGGAGGATTTGAGGGTGTGGGATATGTTTCTCCAAAAATTTAATGGGAGGGTCTTCTTTCGGGGCCCAGCAACGTCCTCGAAGTACCTCGAGTTGTTCACGAATGCAACAGGCAGTGTTGGCTTTGGCGCATTCTTTGCAGGACGGTGGTGCGCGGCACCGTGACCGGTAGGTTGGATGACGAATTCGGTGATGGGGCCTTTGGCCTTTCTCAAATTGTTCCCATTAGTGGTTGCCTTATCACTATAGGTCAAGGAGTTGTGGAACAAATGGGTGGTTGTTTTCTTCACAGATAATATGGCGGTAGTTCATGTCGTTAATAGGCTGTCGGCACGTTCGGTTCCCGTAGTGCATTTGCTCAGGCAATTTGTGCTGTTATGCATGTCTTTGAATATTGTTTTCAGGACATGTCATGTGCTGGGTTTTTTTTAACGTAGTGCCTGATGCGTTGTCTCGCTCACAGTAGGAATGATAGCAGCTCAGGATGCGCGGGCGGACGCGCAGGACTGTCTGGAGGAGATGTGGCAGTTCGGGACGTCCTGTCTGGAGGGCTTATAAAGAAGTCTTTGGTCCCAGGAACGTGGGCAGCTTACGTCAAAGTATTGAGAGCATGGGATGAGGTCGTGGGGCATACTGGTGGGCAGAAATCCAGGGAGGGATGGTTGGATTTGTTGCTGTGGTTTTTATGCCATTTTTTCGCTGGGTGGTTGACAGGACCACGGAAGCACTGGCGTTCGTTTTCAAGCTGAATGGATGGGAAGACCTGACAAAACATTTCGTCGTTAGGCAGGCGATCAAGGGTTTCGGTAGGACAAGTCTTTGGGGGATAGTAGACGCCTGGTATCCTTTGAGGTCTTGGAGGGTTTGGTGGGGGCATTACCTACTGTTTGTTGTTCTGATTTCGAAGTGACTCTGTTCACCATGGCTTTGCGTGGGCATTTTTGGGAGGTTTAGAGTAGGAGAACTGGTGAGTAGAAACCGGATGGGAGATGGTGGAGTCCAGCTGGCGGATGTCGAGCTGTCTCGGGATAGGCTACAGATACGTTTACGTAGGTCCAAAATGGACGTGTACGGCAAGGGGTGTTGGATCACATTGTTTCCATTGCCAAGTTCGGCTCTATGTTCTGTTTACTGCGCAAATGCGTTTCTGCGGGTCCATTCAGGAGTAGCGGGCTCTTTCTTGGTGCATGAAGATGGGTCTTCTCTGTCGCACTTCCAATTCCTTCAGGTTTTTAGATTGATTTTACGTCAGGTGGGGTTGAACCCCTTGGTGTTTGGGACACATTCCTTCAGAATCGGGGCAGCGACAGAGGCGTCTCACCTGGGGCTTGGGAATGACTTGGTTAAGCAGGCGATGGGAATTGAAACGATTTCGTTCTTACATGCGTCCTCATCGACTGGTTTAAAGGGTTTGGGGATGATTATGAGTGGTTTTGTTTTGCATTTGTGACATCCTTGTTCTTTTTATAGGTTGGGTTGCATGTCGCAGTTAGGAATCATGGAATGCAGCTGGGTTTCTCTCAGACCATGGTTTCCCTGTGTTGGATGGGTTTTCGGGTGGTGATTGGTTAAGCGTGAGCAAGGAAATTTTTAAGCGACTGAGTGTGAGTCCACCCCCCAGACATCATACTAATACATGCTGGGGGGACTTAGGGCTTATTCCCCAGAGAGAGTTAGTGAGGCTAAAGAAGAGGGATGTGGACTGGATACGGGAATTACTTCTTGAAGTACTCGTAGTGTGGTCAGAGATGATTCCTCGGCTACATTGGAGACATGCTAGGGATTATACCGACGTGGCTCGGTGTCGTGGAAGGTCAATAAGACTATGTCGGTTTTCATACGAAGGACGGGTGGGGTCGTGGTGAGGCATCGGGATCTGGAAGGAAGGCTGCCTGGGTATTATCGGGCAGATGGAGCACACCCCCCGAGGTGGGGAATGATTTTCTTAACCTTGGGTTTCAGGAAGGTATTAATAAAGCTTTAATTTTTCTGGGTGGGGGCGCTCAGGTGGCTTGAGGTGGTCAAGACCTGAGCTGTGGTGGGGTTATTATTTTAATAACACGCAGGGTCAGGTTGAGTGGAAAATACTCACGGTGATTACAGTGGTTTAGTAGGTTTGCGCTTGTTGGCGGCTCCGAACCTGGGGGTGTAGGGGTGTCACGGTATTACCCTACGGTTTGTTGTATATTGGTTAGCATGCCACTTGGTTGGGGTGTTATGTGAATATTATTCTTGTTTTGTTATGGTTTATATTCATGTTTGAGGGTCATTGCCAGGGTTAATGACTTTTGATGGGAGAGGGGTATTTTAGTATGTATTAGGAGTTGGCAATGACCTTAATTACTCGATATGTTAATAAAGCAGTGGACAATAATTTTCCAATGCTTAAATGGTAGTCTGTGTTTTATTGGGAATGGGTATTGAGGTTAAGCCGTATACGCCATAATAAGGCGACTATGCGCATATCATGTAGCCCATGGAGCGACACAGTGGGAGGAATGGGCCCTGATAGAGCTAGGAGGCAGGCATAGGAGGTTAGTACTATGTGCCTAGGGGAATAGTGTGGGGGGGGGGCTTAAGAGGGGTATATATTCTATCCATTTTAGGTAGAGGCCATTTTAACCAACCTACCCTTACCTGTAGTTGTCCCTCCATCACTCTCTTTTTGGTTCTGTTGATATTTTCTTGCTTAGTCACAGCGGCAGGGTTAGGGGGTGGCAGGGTAAAGTGAGTTAATAACGTGCAAGGTCAGGTTGAGTGGAAAATACTCATGGGGATTACAGTGGTTTGGTGGGTTTGAGCTCGCCGGTGGCTCCGAACCTGGGGGTGTAGGGGTGTCACGGTATTTCCTTACGGTTTGTTGTGTATTAGTAAGCCTGCCACTTGGTTGGTGTGTTGTGGTATGTGAATGTCATTCTTGTTATGGTATGGTTTATATTCCTGTTTGACAGTCATTGCCAGGGTTAATTACTTTTGGTGGGAGAGGGGTATTTTAGTATGTGTTAGGTGTTGGCAATCACCTTATTTTACACAATATGTTAAAGCTGTGGACAATAATTTTTCAACGTTAAAATGGTAGTCTGTGTTTTATTGGGAATGGGTATTAAGGTCAAGCTGGATGTACCATTAAAGGCAACTATGCGCATATCATGTAGCGGTAAGTGTGCTGTGAGAGGTGCCGCAGCCACCAGACAGTGTTTAAGCACCTGCTGCTTCCTTGCTACATTGTGAGGTAAAGTGTAGCTTCATACAATGATGGTATCACTATGCTGATACACTGTCTGATAGCTCCTGTCAGTCTTTCATTTTTCTGTACACTCACTGCTCTCCCCTGCCAGCGCACTCTGATTACCTTCTCTTTTGGGAAGGTGAATGGCATCTGTAATTTCATCTCTCCATCAGCCGTCCTCCTATTGCCTTCCTCTTTAGGAGGGAGGATGGCTGTTCTGTGCTCAACACATCCAACAGTGTCTCACACTGTGAATTAATTGAGCGTATTGGAGGATGTGATGTTACTTTTTTCTACCCAGCACTGTGAATGATTACTCCATGTCTTCAACAACAACAAAATTTAAACGTACAGCTGTTTGTATTTTATTGTTATTATTTTAGTTAGATTTTGTCTTTAATTGTAGCAAGAGATCAGAGAATATTATATAGATAATCAATGCAGAAATCCAGGTACACAAACCTTTTGTTGTGACTGTAGTAATTGAGATTTCTTAAATTTTACACAAATATAATAAAAATTAATTTTTCAAAACAGGTTTCAGACTTTTTTTATATATTTGTGATATTTGTGTGTCTGTATTTTCATACCTCTTGTCAGGGCACACAACAGAGGTTAATTATATATACACATCATTGATTAACATATAAATGAGCAATCTTTGTGACAAAGGCATAAAATAAAGTGAGCTTAAGGACAAAAGATTTTAAGAACTGAAGGACTCACAAAAAAAGCCCCATTTGGGAGGAACTTAGTGGCCCTTGGCACCTTCCACCATCCTCCTAGAGGTTTAGTAGGAAGGAATACTGTTACTCCAGTGATACAGATCTCTTTTCTTCTACTTCCCTATTGGTTTACGCTAACAATGGCTGGAACCATCAGCCGCTAATACATCTGACTCATGCAAGAGGCAAGGGAAGGTAGGTCAATGGGACCAGAAGTCATAACCTCCTACCAAAACAGGTTTGAAAATTGGTGGCAGAAAGGAGTAGAGAAAGTCCTTACAATGTTCAAACCTGTGATCTCCTACCATTTAGTTGTACTTTTGGTTGTGCATCCCTAGTCTAGAGACAGAATCTTATACTCTTATTAAGAAAAAGGATATTTTATTTTTACAGAAACCGTCACAATGCAAAGTGTTACTCAGAGATACTTCAAAGGTTCAGTCAAGAAGAACAAGGCCTTCCAAATCTCGTAGAGTAGAGGAGAACCTTCAGTGGGACACAAATGCTATAAAAAGGGGAAGAAGAGACTATCAGCCTGTGACCTACCACAAACAAGAGCTAATTCAGAGATCAGACCCCTTAGTTGTAAATCAAAAGGATGAGATGACCATGGAAGTCGAGGTAAGTAATTGACATATGAAGGAAATGTAAGCAGAGCAAAAATATGTATTTGTCAAGAGGATAGAAAAATATGGGAATAACAGTGTTCATTCAAAGGAAATGGAACTGGGAGATGAAATCCGGCTACAGGAACAGAATGAGCATATAACAGATCAAGAATCTAATCAATCAGAGCAGGATACAAGCTCTTTATATTCAAATGTAGGAAAAGAAGAAACTGGACCAATGGATGAAAACCATTTTCCAAAGGAAGCAGGTAACCTAACATGTTAGGGCTGGTAGCATTTAGATTTTTTTTAATCATGATCCATTAACAATGCATTGTTTCTTATCCAGGTGACCAGTCCATAGAAGATTCACAATGTACTGACAATGATGACATTATCATACTTAATCCTCAAGTTCCACAAAAAACTGTGAGTGTGTCAAATATCTTGTAGTAACATTTCCTTTGTATCTACATATGCTTTAAATATCCTCATCCTGATGTTACACATAATGAGGATATGTGAACGCAAGTCTGAATTGTCTGAGGATTTGAGATTTATAAGCAATCTCAACTGAGAAAGTAAATCACACCATACACACATTTCTAATCTAGTTTCTACCAGTTATAATTAAAACAATCACAAAAATTGAAAACACAAATTATTAAGTTAATACTACATTGAAAAAGATGCTCAAAGTTTCTAATTTTGAGATATGCAACTGTACAGAGAAACACAACATTGAGATGCCCTACACATTCCTGTCCTCCCCACAGCCTGCTTCTGCCCTTCATGAAAAAAAGAAAGACATCACAACGTGCACATACAATTTATAGTATACAATAAGTCTGTCCATGGTTTTAATATGCACAGATATAAATACTTCTTTATATGACCGGTAGGGTACAAATAGTTTATGCACACATTGCTTACCTTGTGCCAGGGAGGGAGGAATACAGATCCCAGTGGGTGGGCATCTGGTCTGCACCTCAAGCAGGTGTAGACCACTTGTATTGTTCCATCTGGTCCCAGCCTAATTAAAGAATCAGAACATTTTTATGGTAGCACGCAATACACGAACTGCACCAGCTGTTGGTGCAGGTCACAAGCTTCCAGGGACCCAGCGCAGGGTGTGTTGGGGTGGTTTGGAAGATTGTTGATTTCCCCAGTAGTACTTGGCCCATGAACATCACAGATAATCAGGAATTTGGCCAGCATATACTATAGCCACTAATTTTGTATTGTCAAAAATTCCTATAAAATGTAAAAAAAAAAAAAAATTCTAAATCATTCTCTAGAATTCTACTTTACATAGAAATTCTGAGAATGATTTTTATATTATTTTTTACATTTTATAAGAATTTTTTGAAAAATATTACTGGCCTTAGTACATACTGGCCAAATTACTTTTTTGCCATGTTAATGATCTTTGGCGAGACTCCGTAGTAATGCATGACAGGAACCCATTTCTTCTTTCAGCAAATGTTTCTGGTTTTGTTCTGCTTTTCATTGCCAGACTGTTTGTGAATATGTAGTGAGAAGTAGATATAAATCAAAAGTGGAATGGTGGGATTTGTCTCTATTTAGTCCGTCATAATGTTTTTGTGATGGTATGAAGAATCAGCTTAATTTCTTGACTAATTTTCCTTATTACTGGCTAGTCATGGCAGCATCACTTATGGGTAATACCTAAGCTTAAGAAAACAACAAGGGTGGATCAAATACAACCTTCACAACAGAGGTTGCAACACCATATTTGTGATTTATTTGAACTTGTGAACAGAAGACAAAACAACTCTTGATGAGGAAGCCAGGTCCAATTTGTAGTGCTTAAGGAACGTCATTGGAGAATATTTTTCCCAGTCCGGCCCTGTCTCCAGGTATTGAATTAAATATTCCCGTATATCTAATTCTTGGAGTTTTATTTTATCTTGAGATTGAGGATTAGCAATAAACGATGGTAACACTATTTCTTGTCCCATAAGGAAATTAGATACCACTTTCGGAATAAATTTCTGCATAGGCTTAAGAACTACTTGGTCATAGAATATTAATGTATAGAAACATAGAATGTGACAGCAGAACCCATCTAGTCTGCCCAATTTTCTAAATACTTTCATTAGTCCCTGGCCTTATCTTATAGTTAGGATATCTTGTGATGAGAAAGCCTGACGTTCAGAAATGCATCTAGCAGTTGTGATGACCACTAGAAATGTTTTATAGGTAAGATGTTGTGTAGAAATCTGCGAGAGAGGAGCATATGGTGTGTGGCAGAACCAACCTCGCCACTGGAGGAGCCTGGTTGCTCATCTGCTCTCTTTAGACTATGGCCCCATGTTTAACACTATTCTGATTCCCTGCAGAAAGGCTGGTTCGTGCCTTTCTGCGGACTGTTAAAGTCACGAACACTGCTGAGCCGCCGACCTCCCTTCTTCTACCTGCAGTAAATTATCCAAACACCGGTTCATTCGGTACTTTACTGCTTAAACCATGCTACCCCAGATAGCTATGCCATGGAGCCCAGCCGTTTACTGAAAGACTGTATGAAAGACTTTGGCTCCATGGCGATTGAACTGTATGTATGTGATCTGAGCGCCATCATGTAGTAGTGGGCGCTCAGATCTAAGCTATCTGGGGATAGGTAGAATGTGTATGTTCTATGTGATAAATGTAACAGTATGTATTTTTATGTCTTTTATTGCCCTTTGTCTGCCATGTGGTTAATGGAGTTTTGCCTCTGTCCTTGGAAATAATTGGATTACTTCACAGTTATCTCCAGGACAGAGAGGAGGGATTGTGATGCATTGTGAGATTGTAAGCTTGTGATTGGTCAATGTCCAATATGTTTCCCAGTCTTCCATCTGGTCCCCTAGGGGAGTGTCCACCAGGTGGGAGACCTGTATAAAAGCCGGGCAGGTAGCCCTAGTAAATCAGTTCTACTTGATCCTCAAATGAAGTGTTGTCTCATTCTTGGGGGGGAATTGGATTGTATGCTGTTACAGTGCGACTGCCAGGAGTGTAAGTTGTTTGTATGTTTTTTCCTGTTCGGCTGATTAACAGCATTCGTGTGTTTGGGAGTTGGTGAATTTGTGTGTTTCCTGTTCGGGAGTTGGTGAATTTGTGTGTTTCCTGTTCGGGAGATTAGCGCTTGCAGCAGCTGTTCGTGTATTGAATGGGGAATATCGCCTATACGGATTGTAACCCCTTGTTAGCTGAAACGGTCCGTTACGTGGTGGTTCAGTTAAAAATTGTAGAACTAACGGAAAATCCCAAGGTGGAGAGGAATTTTTTGACAGAGGATTAATTCTCATTGCCGTTTTGAAAAATCTTGCAATAAGTGGATGTGTTGCCAAGAGCAGAGAAGGCCGATGACTGGACTATAAGAGTGCTTAGACTAAGACCTTTATATAACCTGACTGTAAGAAATCCAGAATTTGAATATCGGATGGATTGAGATGGTCAAAGTCTTTAGAAGATGCCCATTCTTTGAATGTTTCCCATACGCTATAATAGCAGGATCATGGAGAGGTTTTCCTTGACTTAAGAGTTTCAACCACTTTATTCGAAAGGCCTTGTTAATGTAAAACTTCCATTAAACGCTTGATAGGAAATGATAAGATTCCCCCGTAGCACTTCAAATAACTAGTTTAGAACCTACCCCAGTTAGTCCTATTCACAAACAGGCTATTTACTACTACTTTGTCTGGGAGCATGGGCATCCGCAGAGAGGGGCAAGGGGGGGGGAGCACTTGCTCCCCACCATGGATTTTTTCCAATTGCCTTTTAAAAAGGGGGCCTGAGTCTCTTTGTCCTCATTGGGCGTGCGTGGGGTGCAATTTCCGGGTGACCAGAAGGAGGGGAGCGTACTTCACAGCATGTAGCGTGACCGAACAGACTGACAACGGTAGGGGAGCTTCTATTCCCTTACCTGGTCTGACAGGAAGTGCTCACAGAGAGCACAGAACTGCTTCCTGTCAGTCCGGGAAGGGGAACAGAAGCTCCCCTACCGCGGTCCACCTGCTGAGCAAGTGAGGCTGAGTGGGCACAGGGGAGGGGTGCTAAAGAAGAGAACAGGTGAGGAGGGAAGCTAAAGCAGGCAAAAGTAAGCACAGAAGGGGGGCTAAGGGGGGCACAGGAAGGGATCAAAAGAAGGCACATAAGTGGAGGTTTGCTAAAAGGGGCAAAAGAGGGCACAGGAAAAGGGCAAAATAGGGCACAGAAGGTGAACGGGGATAAAGAAGGGCACAGGATGGGAGGGGGGACTAAACGGCACAGAAAGTCAAAGGGGGCTAAAGAGCACACAGGAAAAGGGCAAAATAGGGCACAGAAGGTAAAAGGGGCTAAAGAGTGCACAGAAGGGGAAGAAGGCATAGAAGGTGAAGGGGGGGGCTAAAAAGGGCACAGAAGAGGGGTACTCACTGCAGTTTAAAATTCAATAAAATATAAATGTAAAAAAATTATGAAGGCCTGGAGAATGGAATCCATTGCTATAAAATCTGTAAACCTTTATAGGACCAATAATTTGCAGCAGATTGTTTTTTTCCCTGAGACTTCTGTAGACATTGTTCAAGATATGTTTGCGTTGTGTAGTATGGGAGCATTGCCATTGAAAGCTGTGACAACACTGACACAAAAGAGAGAAGACCCTCCAGAGGTAGAAGCTTTAAGTACCCCCCCCTCAACAAAAGCCAACAATTGACTGGGGACAAATAGCTGTTTATATATATTAATGATACTGGGCTCCATGCACCTGTTTCAGCTGTGTCCACCTGATGGTAGCCCTTTCTACTGAAAGTCTCTGTTTCTACCATTATTACAGGCTTCTTCAAAGATTCGGGTGGAGATTGCCTCTCTTACCTTAGATCCCTATTCTGATGTAGTAGCTGATGAAACCGTGCAGAGAGTGTTTGTGGAGTTTCGTTTCCCAGGTGTACCCCTGGAGGAAACAGAGACCCCCCTGTCACTACACAAGCCCAGTAGGGGTGAAGAGGTATACTTCCATTTCAGCAAAGGTGTGTAACATGTTTCTCGTATACTGTGACTTTTATTGAATTTACACCATTGAATAAACCATTGCAAAACACTTATACCTTCTGTTATCCTTTTCTCAAAAGGTGCTCTGTTTTCTTTTAACTTTATAGTAAAGATGTAGCAAATGACATAAGAGCCAGGGTTTACTTTGCAAATGAAGATGGAGATAGAGGATATTAATCAAGATGTTCTGAAAAGGACAAATGTCATCATTATTTTGATCTTATTTATTAACATGTTCTAAAAGCGCTCTAAAACATGATTTTTTTTACATTGTAAATTCTGCCCCTTTTTGGAGAAATATCCACTTTAAACCACCATTTTGAAAGTGTTAGAAAAAAAGGTGAAATAGTAAACATTTCTGTCTGAAAAAGTGGCAGGAAGATTATCGATTTGTGCATTGCTGGAAAATGGTGTATAATCAAACATGGCAGTTAAGCAATAGAAGAACAAATCTGGCATATCTCGCAAATTGTACCAAATAAACACCGGAAGATAGATTTATACTATTTCAATGCTGACAGTCACATGCCAAGGACAGAGTTGATAACAGATTGACAGGGATCTAAGATGGAAGAATCCAGTTGCAGGAAAAAGAGGTGTGAATTTGTACATCTCTACACTTAATTTTATACTTTTTTTGTTACACAAAGAGAAGCTTAAACATATATTTAACATGTGGGGGTGACAACTAATCTTTCTGGAGAGACTTAAAGAGTAGCTATCTGAATAGTTACAATACATATTGCTTGTTTAAAGTAAATTAAACTAATGTAACATTGTAATTCACCTATAAAGTATAGGTAAGATTTAAAAATTGTCATCACAATCCAGTTTAGTCCTGACACAGTTATTGGAGGAGGATTGCTATAATCATTGTTTCTGTTTGTTTTCCTCCATTTACTATTCTCAAGGACAGAGCTGATGTATGACTGACAGGGCCTCAAGATGGAGGCACTCAGTGTTAGCTACATAGTGTAGTGTAGATTTTGGCATATAATTTTATTTTTCACACCCCGCACACGTTTGTTAAATATAGGAAAAAAGTAATAATGATATGAAAAATGTTGTGAAGTGATAATTCCCCTTAGACACCATCAAAAACTGTAAACTATCCTGCAAAGTATTTGGAGAGTATATATATCTCTCAAATCACCCTCTTTTTCCATGTTTTCACATATTTGGTACCTGAAAATACATGGTTTTTCCTCTTTATATCCCAAGGACTTGTTTTCATATTATTTCTCTTTCCTCAGTGATACACCTGGATGGAGAGGAACACATGGAACGGAGACAGTTCCTCTACATGCTCCTAAGAGGGTCAGATCTATCAAGGCAGAAACACAGGTATGCTGCGATACGAAAAAAGCAATTCACTTCTTAAATTATTTCTCATTACTGCCCATTTTACAAGGTAATTAGCTCCACCAAATTAGCCTGTAAATTAAAAAAAAATGCAATATTTAAATACTATTAAAAGTACAATAAGATGCAGCGCAGTATACGCAGAGTAAAAACGATAGCTAAAGTCTCTTGCAGCAAGTATAAACCTTTAGCGTCGTGAAGATCAAGATATAGATCATATATAAAAATGAAAATGTTTGTGGAGACAATGCTATGAAGTGAAATAAAAAATGTTTAAAACATAAAATACACTTGTTCAGAGGATAGAATGAAAAGGCCAAAATAAGTATGTAACTCACATAATATATTATTCTACTGTTACCTAACAGAATGCCTTCACGTTTTTCATTATATATAATGTTAAAAATTCAATTAAAAAAAAGTAGCAAAAAAATAAATAAAACAAATGATAGTTAAACAGACAATTTAGGGGACACAGAATATATTTGAGGGACAATCTAGGGATGGCAAATGCAATAAAGATATGTTTATGGCAGCCAGAGCAAAATAGTCATTTTAGACTGTGCTTCAAAGCCTAAGGATTAGGGTAAAACTCAATTTATACAAATGGAATACACTATAATTCAAATTTTTAAAAACAGTTATTTTGAGGGTTGAATGTTTAATATAGATTTTTACAATTGTGTTGATGTAAGTGCACTTCTCTGAATGCTGGCCTGTAGACTGCAATTTACAGTAGTGAGTGACCCCATTAATGAAGAGGACGAGGAGTGCCGTGATTTGGGATATGCCTTCTTAGACCTGCAGTACCTACTAAGAAGATCTGTGGACCCTGTTGAAGAAACTTTACAAAGTGAGTGCAAAGACCTATAGAGAAAACCTAAGCTTAGTTCTTTATATAACTATTAATAGTAAAGTGTTCTTGTCTGTTCCTCTAGTTGTCAATGTTTTGGATCAAAGCCAAGTCATTGGAGCACTTCGGGTAGCAGTAGAAGCCAGAGATGCTGTTCGAGCAGTGTACAGAGAGCAGAGAGTAAAGGCCAACATGTCCTCCTCCTCGCTGCTCATCAAAACCTGATTCTTTTATCTAGTTACATCGAAGCAAAAATGATACAAAATGTCATTACCCAAGATAATGATCCTGATACACATCTCTCAACCAATAATCATATTCTGGAATAGGTACAAACAGAACAGACCTAGACCGACAGACTCTCTACCACTTTAGTGGTGCTACCTTCTGGATCAAGACTGACAGCGTTATTCCCTAAAGTAAATTTAAGGACTGCGTACTGAGTGAGCCAAATGTTATAGTTCAGCTATTTTGGCCTTAGATTTGAAATTTCCTCGGAATTCTAGAGTTTTTCCAGACAATTATTTTCTGGGAAGTTTGCAACAGTTTCCTGTTCATCCCTTAAATCATTTGTTCTGAATGAGGAAGATTATCACACTGTATACATTCGCTGTCTATGTCCCCACTGTCATATTGTGTACACTCTCTATCTACTGTGGTCTTGATGCTGCAATCAGGAGGGTACAGCCAATAATGTGGGCCAGGTGGGCCTGTGCCCCACATTCCCAATAACAAAAGAAATTGGATCTGGGTTTGATTGAAGGAACTTGCATTATGAACCATTGGAGAGTACTGCTTTCCTTAAAATCAGAGGTAGTCAACCTTTTAATACCTACCGCCCTCAAGTGCAATTTTTTTTTTTAATTTTTTTTTTTTAGAAAGGAGGGATATTTTTTTTAAATAAAGTTGCCCCCTCCCTTCTTCTTACCTTTTACCAGGCAGGGGTGACATAATGCTGCAAGCCCTGGTGATCTAGTGGTGGCATGTTCACTTTAGCTCCTCCAGCTGCAGGCTGAGACTCCTGCGAGCAAAGTACTGTATTGGAGTTTTGCCATGGTAACAGGCAAGCAATGCTAGTGGGAGGAACAAAGTTCCAGTGGCGGGAATGGGCCGGGGATGCTCTAAGTGCAAGCAGGCTGGTGAGGGAGATCTTTGATTTCCTCTCTGGCCCAAGAGCACTTACAGCAAGGCTCTGCATGTGCCGGCAGGGGAGATGAAAGGATCTCCCCTGCCAGCCTTGGTGCACGGCCATCGAGACCCACCGCGTATTTTCTTCAGAACACTCCACCACCACCCCCCGGAAATCCCAAGGTTGACTACTACTGTCTTAAATGCTTGAGATGTATCAATTTCAGAGAGTGCAATGGAATGCCAATAGAAATAAACAATATATTCAATGTATTATTCCATTGCTAAAGGGACATGCATCACTTTTATTTTTACCAGCAAGCAGATACTTACACAAATATACAAACTAAAATTAAGGAAGAAAACAGATAGAATAAACATTTAAAAACTTACTGTAAACTTTGTCAGTCCCCCTCCCCCCCACCTCTCATACACTCACTAATCTCAGTTTCGCATGACTACCACTAGTCACACATGACAAAATATGTGCACGTACATGACAATTACAAACAAAAGAATAACAGTTGCTTGAAGTCAATGAAACAATTATGACAAATTGTGTAACTTTTGACTGTGTGTATATATATTATAGATTTGTGATCTGGACACAAAAGGCAGTATGTTAGAACTAAACATAACATAATAATTGAGGTGTGTCGAAACTGAAGTACTGGTAGGCCTGTAAAATTAAGAGGGCAATGCTGAATAGAAAATAAGTAATTTATTATATGTACTCAGAATTAAATAAAATTGGTGCTTTGCTTCTAACCAACTAAATTTCCTGATAAATTGCATAATAGACAAGGACTGTGACCACCCTTTATTTACAATAGAACACATAGCGTGATTGTCAGACGAGCATTTAACAGTCTGACCAGACCATAAGTGGCCACAGGTTTGGGCTGTGGTTACTATAGGGCAAGGATAGGCAACCTTCGGCACTCCAGATATTGTGGACTACATACCCCATAATGCTGGCAAAGTATCATGGGAAGTGTAGTCCAAAACATCTGCAGTGCCGAAGATTTCCAGCGCCTGCTATAGAGTATACCTCGAAAAGAGCATATGTATCTTTAAAAGGCATCTAGATCTTTAGCCTCTGTTGGCAGAGTGCCGCAATCTACAATAAAGATTAGTTATGTAGCAAAGTGGAAGAAACATGGACTTCCCATTCCACTCGTTTAGAAACCTTTCCCACACAGTAAGGTATGCCATAGCTTGCTTATCTATGATTATTAGACTATCCTCGTTGTGTAACTCAGTTAATAAACAGAGTAGACAGGAAATAAGAGACGTGATGGATTCTCCTTATGACAAAGTTAAGTGAGTCTATTGCAGGAATCTTTTTGGATAAGAATGTGAATGTTATCAAGGATATGAGAAATGTCCTTTAGGAAGGCTGGCTTCTATGGCTTCCAACTGAATGCCTAGAAAAATTACTTTAGTGCCAGCACCGGTTTTATCATTTCAGATTGGGACACCTAAGCTATTGAATAATCAAATGGTATCCTTTAAACTACTTGAGAGTTTAGAAATTGTTCTCTGTAGTAAGAAAATCATCCAAATAATGAATGACTGTAGGACTTCTACATGAATTAGTAACCAGCATAGTGTCTCTGAACATATCAAAAGCCTGGGCTGCTTTTTAATCCAAAAGTGAGCTTGGTAAAGAAATAGTAGCAGTTGTCCCACTTGAAGCCATGTAGATGCCATAGTGTTGTTTGAATAGTGACTTGTTTGAATGTGTGTACGAAATATGCAGCGTGACTCAAAACCCCATATGAAAGCATTATATAGTATAGGGGAAGCCCTAATACGAGCACGGCCATCACGCAGGGGAGGGACACTACAGGGAACCAAAGGGCCAGGAAACAACCTTGTTTTCCTGGCACTATAGATTCCCTTTTAGAAAAATAGAGTTTTATTCCAGACCTCAAAGGAGTCAATATGGTCAATATCTGAAAGTTCTTTCTTTCAAAATGGAAACCATTGCTTTAATTATTTCAAACATCAAACAGGGACACTGGATCAGATCTATAAACTTAGATGATGCTTATTACCAAATTCCAGTCAACATTACTTCAAATTCCTTCTGTTTTAGGCTCTACCCTTGAACTGGCCAAGTCTCACCCAAATGACTTATTACTTAGGTCCCCCAGCCCCTGGAAATGGGTGGGGGGTGGGGGCTGAGGACGACACGAGATAATAATTGTGGGATTTTGGTGCCATCTACTAAACGGCACATGCAGCCGTTTTTATCATTTGAGACTGAGACACCTGGGTTGAATGTCCTTAAAGGGACACTATAGTCACCAAAAGAAATTTAATGAAGCAGTTTTGATGCCCCTGCAGCCTCACTGCTCAATTGAAGCCGTTTAGGAGTTAAATCACTTTGTTTATGAACCAGTCACACCTCCCTGCATGTGACTTGCACAGCCTTCTAAACACTTCCTGTAAAGAGTCATCTAAAGTTTATCTTTCCTTTATTGCAAGTTCTGTTTAATTTAGATTTTTTTATCCCCTCCTAAGTTAATAGGTTCCTAGACCCTGCAAGAGCCTCCTGTATGTGATTAAAGTTCAGTTTACAGAGCAGGAGATAAAATTGTTTAAGGTAAATTACATCTGATTGAAAGTGAAACCAGTTTTTTTTTTTTTTCATGCAGGCTGTGTCAATCATAGCCAGGGGAGGTGTGGAAAGGGCTGCATAAACAGAAACAAAGTGATTTAACTCCTAAATGGCAGTGAATTGAGCAGTAAAACCCGAGAGGCATGATCCATACACTAAAACTACCTCATTAAAGTTGTTTAGGTGGCTATAATGTTCCTTTAAGGATGGCGGGCGTGCTATGCCATCCATGGGGACCCGGCTCTAAACACCGTCCTGGCCACTTACCTGCAATCACGATGGGGACACACTAACTTGGCATTCCCAGGGAGTCCCCCTGCTGCCGATCCGGCCTTCGTGGGCCATGTGATCACAGGGACCTCACTATCACATGGACAGAATAGCCATGCCAGGAGTGACAGGTAGTCGCCCCTGCTGCTTGTAAGAAAAAAAAAGTTAACAGTTTAAAGTTAATATATACCTTGAACACACACAGTCTAAGTGTAATATTAATATATAATTATATATTAATATCAAAATACACGTAGAATGATTTATATTATAAAACAAATACGTTAAAAATGAAAAAAATTAAAAAGTGTAATTTCATTCTATTTTAAAATTAATATATCGATAATACTTAGAACGCAACATATACACACACACACACACATATATATATACATACACATTTATATTATATAATTCTACATTTATATTTATGTAATATCTTTACAGAAGTCATTTTATTAGTTACAATTTGCGGGATCTGCCTGATAACCCAGGCAGAAAGTCCAGAGAATTTAATTTGCTAGCACTATAACCCTGTAACTTTCCAAAACACCATACAATCTGTACATCGGGGTTACTATTTTACTCGTAGACTTCGCTGAACACAAATAGTGTTTCAAAACAGTAAAATGTATTACAATGATGATATCCATGAAAGTGACTGTTTTTGCATTTTTCATAAAACAAACGGCACTTACGATATAATTACTGTGATAAGTTTTACGGTTTTGAAACACTAATATTTATGTTCATCGAAGTCTCCCGAGTAAAACAGTACCCTTCATATACAGGGTTTATGGTGTTTTCAAAAGTTACAGAGGCTTGCGTTTCAGTTTTTTCACATTGAAATTCGCCAGATTGGTTACGTTGCCTTTGAGTGTATTGCAAATAGGGTATGTCCAGTCTTTTTAAGAAGTCACTTAGTCACAAAAACTGGTCAGTTAGCGTTAATAAGTGGCTACTAATAAAGACTGGACATACCCAGTTTGCAATACACCTTGGGTTGTCTACTATTGCAAATGGTATGCCATCAGGGGGCTAATTCTCATTCCTGGGCTACCATACACTCTCAAAGGCAACGTAACCAATCTTGCGAATTTCAACGTGAAAAAAAATGAAAAATTTAACATGCTATATTTGACCATGTAACTTCCCAAAACACCATAAAACCTGTACATAAGGGGTACCCCGTTTTACACGTGAGACATCACTGAACACAAATGTGTATTTTATTACAGCAAAAGCAAACCGTATTATGACAGAATGTCATGCAGAACTAAAAAATTTTGTAAAAATCCTTAATTTCTCTCATTTTTATATTTTATTCATATTAAATTGTGTTTCATCGCTAAATATTTGATAAATGAAAGCAGTTTCCCCTGAATCAAATTATTTATAATAAGTGTGGGTGCACTTAATACGAAAGGTTAATTACGGTTGAACAGACATTCAAATTCCAAGTTTTGTTTACGTTTTATTTTGATCAAAACGTGTACATTTGGCTCAGTCCTTAAGGGGTTAAGTTCCGAACCAAAGAATGACCGAAACAAAAATAACACAAATTTAGTCCGAAAAGTAACGAGGGAATGAACGGAATTTATTTCGAATTAAAGAAGAAGAAAAAAAAAATTCTCCCGTGCCCATGTCTACTAGGTACCCCCTTATAATAGCCCCTACCTGCTGACCACAAGTGGGGGCAAAGGGGGTGGGACAGTGACCTGAACAACCCTTTTTATTTTAATGTCATCCACACAATGCCCAAACAATACAATTATTTCACAGGCCTATTCAAAGGCTGTCCAGTCGGTAGTTTTAAATATTCAGTAGATATGCCCCCAGTTAAATCAGTATATAGTTACTGGTTTAAATGTACTTTAAGCGACTGCCACTTCACAAAAACATATTGTGTTGACATTTCACGGAATTCCAATGCAGTCAAAAGATACCATAAGAGTAGTTAGATGCAACATGTTATAATGGTTAAGCCCAAGGTCAAAGCTTGACAAAAGGACTCTTTCAGTAAAATTTTTGTTGACTTAAACAATTCCAATGACTAAAATACGACAAACAGATTTTATTTAAAAGACTGACTAAAACTAAATAGAAATTTGTTGCCAAAATTAACACTGCTCTGGACATAGCACTGTTATGGCCGCATCCGCCTTATTTTGTTTTTTTACTCACTCCCCCAACTCCTCTACATTTTATAGTACCCCCCCAAGTCACACCTAAATGCCTCTAGGTCCCTCATTTTACCTTTTTGCTGCCTCGTTTTTTCATCCATATCTTTGTCCCAAATGCTGCCATCTTAAGGTTCTTGGATGACATTTACCGAATGAATGAATTAATAAAATTATAACAAGTGAAAACACCAAATTGCAATTCATTTTTCATTTAGTTTATTATAAGAAGGGAGTTACCGGTTTCCACCTTATATTTAAAAACAGAAGCAGCGGGGGAGGTATGTCCCCACCCCCTCACCCCCATATAATGAGTAAGTGCTATTAAACTAAACATGGAACCTAGTGTGCCCTCCCCCAGTCCCTTGGTTGGGCCCTAAATTATGAGGGATGCCTACTGTTGCCCCCCCAGCCCCCACCCATTAGCGGCAGATGAGGCCCTAAATTTTAATCTCCCTTATTTTTTATTAATAAAAAAAAATAAAAAAAATAAATACTTTGTAAGTAAAGTTGGCTGAAAGACCAAAATTAAGAAGTTACAGCTTTTTAGTACATAGCTCTCCAATACTTATGAAATTGCTTCTTTGGTACCCTTAATTATGGCAATCCCACAAGTGAATTATATACTAAATGGCTACAAGAGGTAGCTGAGGCCTGTAATTTAATTCTTCCGAATGAAATTCGGAACGAAAATTACCTAATTTCGTCTGAAAACTAATGGACACTGTCGAAATTTTGAGCTGGCACTAGGTCTACATTACAGGACATTCAGAAACGCGAGAATATAGAGGAACGAGAAGTATTATGGGAAAACCTTCCTAGACACAGCTTACTTCAACTCCTCCTTGTGTCTAAGAAAGTCATTATTAGGAATAATACATAAGACAAAGTAGCCCCTTACTTTGTCTTGTGTTTTTCATTAGAAATAGCAGGAAAATTAAACAAAAAACAAAAAAACAGTAGGGAATATGTTGAGAAAAGTTAGGTATTGTGTGGCCGTGCCACTTTAAGTTGTCAGTTCCTCCAGTTGTCGCTACATGTTGTACATGCATGAAAATACAGCAATGACATCACTCCACTTGGGACCGCTTCAGGCAAGTATAATTGCCCTCCACTCTACTCCCAGGCCTTAGTGAGCCTGAGTGACCCCCAAGTAAACATAGCCACTTTAAAATGATGCATAATCACTTTGCTGCTGCCAACAAAGCTATATAATCTACTTCACCATATGCCCAATTTTCAACTATATTACACTGCATGCTAACCTGTCAAAACGCCTTGATCTGTGCTGAAATGCAATGCAGAAAAAAAAAAAAAAAAATTTTGACAAAGTGACTGTCACCTCAGACTTAACTTTCTCCTATTGTTTCCTTTCTGAATGTTTCCCCCCACCCCCATTTCTGATTTCAAATAGTCTAATGCATTTTCCTATGCTTGACAAAGGATGGATCTAATAACAAATTCCACTTCCTTCATCAAGAATGTGGAGCTTGCCTTCAGCTCCACCCTTTGTCAAGATTGTCAGGCATATGAAAAATACATAGGACAAATAGTCCCTACCTCGTCTTGTGTGTTAACGAGAAATAGATCAGAATGAAGAAAAGAGGAAATAGGACAAAATTAAGTCTGAGGTGACAAACACTTTAAATAGCCAAAAATTAAGTGCTGAAATTAATAGTTTGAACCCTAAACAACATTTAAACAAAAGCAATCATTAAAAACTAAGCAGTCAGGGCTTTTAAGGTCTTTGCTGTGAGCATATGTAGGAGTCTCTTTCTGGCATGAGGGGGTGTGGTAAGGAGGCAGGCTTATAATGCATAATTCTACAAAACATTTATGGTTTTCCAGCAAACAGCATGCAAAAAAATAAACCATATTAAGGTCAAAACATATACATTGCCTTCCTATTACTAACCCTTGATAAAACATTTTTTTTTAAATTATACTTTGGGTATATGACCTAGCATCATTCACTGTCATAGACTGTGTATCAAACATGTAACCCTTTGATAGGACCTATGCAATGTCATCTCCAGGTACAGGTTTTTCCACTATCACATTAATAATACAACTATTGAGAAAGCACATATTTTAGTAAAAACAAGAATCTCCAGGTCTATTCACTAGTCAGTGAGTTGACAACAGGCTTGGAAAATTAAGACCAAAGTAAAGATGGAAGGATAGTATTTATTCAGCTACGCTATTCAGGCATAATTTTGTTAACATGAAGCTTTTTTTTTTTTTTTTTTTTAAATAAAAGACAACTTAAGCTTAATGAAGTAGCTTTGATGTATAGATCATGCCCCTGCAGTCTCACTGTTCAATTCTCTCCCATTTAGGAGTTAAATCACTTGTTTCTGGCACAGCCACACCTCCCCTGGCTGTGACAACCTGCATGGAAAAAAAGGGCTTTAATTTCAATTAGATTTAGCTTACTTTAAAAAGGTTTTTTTGTTTTTTTTAAATCTTCAGCTCTGTAAATTGAACTTTAATTACATACTAGCTTGCCAGTGCCTACATGAGCTTCCTGTAACAGAACACGAGATAAGGAATTATAAATTGAACATATTGTGCAATAAAAGAAGTCTAAACATTAGATGACTACAGAAAGTGTTTAGGAAGGATGTGTAAGTCACATTCAGGAAGGTGTACCTACCTAGTGCTGCATAAACAAAGTAATATAAATCCTATATGGCAGAAAATGGAGTAGTGAAACTGCAGGAGCATGATCTATACACCAAAACTATTTCTTTGGGCTAAAATTGTTTGGTGCCAATAGTGTTCCTTTAACAATTCTCGTCTACTCTTTGTGTTATATTTATTCATAAGTCATAGTACTATGCAACAGTAGCTTTCTAAAGAAGTTACACTGTAGAGATTTGTTTTATTTATCCATAGAGCTGTACAGTAGGCCTCCTCATATTTGATTCTTTGCTCATATTCTCAGAATGTTGAATGAGATGGAGACTGCATTTGATAGTTAAACATTAAATACAATTCTAAAGCAGTAAAACAAGAAAGTAAACAGAGTGTGTTTTATCCCTGAGGAATTTAGTTTTATTTATAGTCTTAACTCAGGACTGAAAAACTGAGGTGGCATTAACATGTGCCTGCTTTTCAACCCAAGTGTTTTTTTTAAAATGTATCTGAATTTACGGTACAATTCCAAAACTATGGCAAACAAGTTTAAAGAAAAAAAAAAAAAAGAGGTACAAAAAAAGAAAAGGTTTTATTTTTTGTTTACATTTCTTCAAAGTCTGAAAAAACACTGTTTACATCTCACTGCTAAGAGAGAAAAACACAAGGAGAGGCAAAAAATTATAATATATATATATATACTCAAAACATTTAAATCCTTCCTGTTAAGAAAATCCCCCAAAACGCCAGAAATCATAGTTCAGAGCAGCAGAGAGGTAAACAATGTCAGACTGTATACTTAAAACAAAATATATTTTGCAAAGGGGAAGAAAAAAAAAAAAAAGCAAAATATCTATTAATTGGAATTCTAAATAAGTAACGCAAGAAACAGAGGGTTGCACTATAAAAGGAGAAAGATTGGTCAAATGCACAGGAGGCAAGCAAATCAACCAGCGCAGGTGGTTAATGAGAGATGCTCTTAAATACTACACTGTCACTCCATTGCAGTGTCTCTGAAGCAGAAAATGTCACTCCAGATAAAAATAAAACCGTGGAATATTTTTAAACGTTGAACAGGCATGACATTTCATGTGCCAGCTTTGTGATCAGCTCTGGAGACACAGAAGGAGAAAATAAAAATTGGTCCATTCAACCTTCATTGCCTAATAGCATGGTGCAAACTCAGAGGCCAAATGAAGGAAGGCGAGAAATGCGGATATGGGAAGAGATGATAGAGAGGCTTGAATGGGGACAGGAATAGAGAAAATTGGAACAAAGACTCGGGACTCCATCTTCCAATATAATAAAAAAAAAATCTGTAGCAAGGTTGCAATAATGGTGCTGGCAGATAACATTGTTTTGCATTTATCACTTCTTTCTCCTTTTTGTAGGTACGGGAGCGTGGCTATGGCCCTTCCTCTTCTTGGTGTTTCTTTGCTCTTCCTCTTCATTGTAACAACTTTCTTTATCAGCTGTTAGGGAACAGGTAAGAGGGAGTGGAAGAGCAATGTTAGTTAGCTTCAAAAAGTATGACAACGTCCTTTAATACAAATCTAGAAATCTGCATTAAGTAATTAATAGTTAAAATTGGAACCACACATTTTGCAGACTAGATTTCCCATGACACCAGCATTAAAAAAATAATTTTTTAGTGTTTGATAAAGTTCAAAGTTTTACTATAAAAAGTTCTTATTTACTTCTTAGCCAGTTATAAAATAACTCCTGTATAAGAGACATAAATCCACTACTTGAGTTCAGTTTTGTAATTTAAAAGTTCTCTGGTTTACAACAGTACTGTGCTACACTTATCAAAACTTCTGATTTTAAGTCTATGCATATTAGCACTTATTGTTTGCCAAAATGCATCCCCCAGCCAATCAATAGAATCTTTGCTGTTTTATCTGTCACATACTGCTCTGGTTATTAAATGGTTACACAATCAAAAAACTGACATCTAACCGTTATGGGTGGTATGGCTAGGTCCAAAATTCATTGTGACACAGTTGGGAAGCAGTGTCCCATTTTACTTGTTCAGCATGGTATGAAATGGTAAAGAATCATTAGAACAGATATGAATGTTGCTCCATAGACATTGTTGTATGTGTCTGTTAGCGTTAACCAGTCTGCGATTAACTTCTGAATGAATTTTCCCTCTCTCGTTTGGGTTCCCATGTCTTTGGTTTTGTGAAGATCTCTTGTGTCCTGTTCTATAGATTTGTTCCTACCTTCTGAAGTTGTATTTTGGGCAATTTGTTCAATGTTTTATGCTTTTGTTTAGCTTACATTCTGAATTCATTACTTGGGTGGATGTGGGAAGTTCTCATCTTTGGCTGCCTTTAAATTTTAGCTTTAACCCCTTAAGGACTGGACTGTTTTTGCGATGTTGTACATTTGCGACCAGGAATATTTTTACACTTTTGTGGTGTTTGTGTTTGGCTGTAATTTTCCGCTTTCTCATTTACTGTTCCCATACAAATTATATATTGTTTTTTTCAGGACAAAATGGGCTTTCTTTACATACCATTATTTATATAATCTCATGTATTTTAATTTTAAAAAATACAAAAATCTGATGAAAAATTGAAAAAAATACATGTTTTTTGACTTTTACTTGAAAAATCTTTTACTCATCTACAAAAGCGAATGAAAAAAACTGCTAAATAGATTCAAAATTTTATCCTGAGTTTAAAAATACCTAGTGTTTACGTGCTTTTTTGCTTTTTTTTGCATGTTATAGGGCTATAGGTACAAGTAGGATATTGCGGTTTCAAAACATACATTTTTAAAATTTATCAATAGTGACATTGTAACACTATTATCTGTCATAAATCTCTGAATAACACCCCTACATGTACATATTTTTTTTAAAGTAGACAACCCAGGGTATTCAATATGGGGTATGTCCAGTCTTTTTTAGTAGCCACTTAGTCGAAAACACTGGCCAAAGTAAGCATTCATATTTGTTTGTGTGTGAAAAAAGTAAAAAAAACTAAATTGAACGCTAATTTTGGCCAGTGTTTGTGACCAAGTGGTTACTAAAAAGACTGGACATACCCCATTTGCAATACCTTGGGTTGTCTTCTTTTGCAAATGGTATGCCATCATGGGGGTAATTCTCATTCCTGGGCTACCATACGCTCTCAAAGGCAACGTAACTAACCTGGCCATTTTCAATGTAAAAATATTTGACCCATATATTTGACCTTGTAACTTTCAAAAATGCTATAAAACCTGTACATGGGGGGTACTGTTTTACTCGGGAGACATCGCTGAACACAAATATTAGTGTTTAAAAACTGGAAAACGTATCACAACAATTATATCATCAGTAAAAGTGCTGTTTGTGTGTGAAAAATGCAAAAAAAGTAACTTTCACTGACAATATCATCGCTGTGATATGTTTTACTGTTGTGAATCACTAATATTTGTGTTCAGCGAAGTCTCCCGAGTAAAACAGTACCCCCCATGTACAGGTTTTAGGGTGTCGTAGAACGTTACAGGGTAAAATACAGTGCTAGCAAATTAAATTCTCTGGAATTTCGGCCTGGGTTGGCAGGCAGGTCCCTCAAATTGCAATCAATAAAATTACTGAATTATGTAAAAATATTACATAAATACGCACGTAGAATTTAAATATATATGCATATTTATATATTTGAAGTCTACGTGTATATTTATATAATTATTTATGTAATTTTGTATATGGACGTATGTATATTTCTTATTATTTTTATTTATTTTTATATACATAGATATATATACAAATTCATTCTAAGTGTATTTTGATATAAATATATATATATTAATTTTAAAATACAGTTAGAATAAAATTTCATATAGCTATATAATTTTTTTTAAATTTTTTATTATTATTTTAAAAAATGATTTAATTTAAATTACTTATTATTTATATTTTATAATAATATATATATACAATATATATAGTTATTATATATATTATATATATACGTGTGTAATTTAATTATAAGTGTATTTTTATATTAATATAAGTACATATTAATATAAAAATACACTTAGTACGACATTATATATATGATATATAGACATATATTATATAGATATAATATATGTCTATATATCATATTTATACATATATAATTATTATTATTTTTTTTATTAACATTAACTTTAATTTTTTTTTGATTTTACACATGCAGGGAGACTGCCTGTCAGCACAGACAGTCCCCCTGCAGGCAGACACATGGACACCTATTGTGACCATGTGACGCTGTGTTAAGCGATCACAGGCCACAGGGTCCTCACCCGCCG